CCATGCACCCAGCAAATATTTCACCTAAACAACTTTTCCGTCTCATGAACGCTTTTACATTGATTTGTTTTGTTTTGTTTCAGTTCGTTTCATGCTTTTTAACTTTCCGTCCGTCCGTCGGCTTTTCTAATGCAGGGGATCGATCCACCATCTATCTGCATACCACACAACGTTTTTCTTCCTGTCCATCACTCCCAATCCCAAGTCCACGGCAATAATCCTACTCCATCCCCTAAACCTAAATTTCTAGTCCTGAAGTAAAATATAATGAGTACCGTACCTATACACTCCGTACTACACCCATGCCGAGCCCTTCTGTATTGAGCCTAGAGCGCAACCAGCACTGCGATCAGACCAAGCCAAAAATACACATTCAAATTTACTAGACCCATCATGTATTTTCTTGGGCTGGATGGATGGTAGGACGAATGCATCGTTTAGCATCATTTAAACTTCACGACGCCTGGAGATGAGAGGAGACGAACGAACAAACAACGTGGAAGCCGGGTAAGGTAAGACATGTTATTATTCCCAAAAGTAAGACAAGGCTAAGCTGAAGAGGACACAACATGCCGGTGCTCGGGCCGCGAGCATTTCGGCGCCACCGATCATGATTGCTTGGGATGGGTATTGTGGCAGTGGAGTGAGGCGGAAAAGTATAATCTTTTTGATTTGTGATGGGATTTGTGATGGGATTTGTGATGGGATTTGTGATGGGATTTGTGATGGGATTTGTGATGGGATTTGTGATGGGATTTGTGATGGGATTTGTGATGGGAGTTGTGTTTTGATTGGATGGGTGGATGGATGGATGGGGAAAAAGAGTGAGGATGATATATGTGTTTTGATGCATGCATGCATGCTGGCCGCGTGGTGGGTGGGCGCTGACGAGGTTAGTGGCGATGAAGGGGAGGGAAATTGGACGCGCATTATTTGTCGTGAGATGGGTTGCTGGGAAATGGGGCCGAAAAGTGTAATTTTGAATTTGGGGATGCAGTGGAAGGGCATGGAAGGACGTGAATTGTACTAAAATTTATTCTAGAATGGTGATCTGGAATATCGCAGTCTGAACTACTGTGCTAAATATTATGAGGAAGTATTGAAGTTTAGTTGCGCTTTGCTAGTTTGCTGCTTCGTATGGGAAATTTGGTATGCGGTTGCTGGAATACCTACGGAAGGAGATTCTCGTGTGCTTTGATCTTCGTGTTGCGGAAATAAATGTTCGCATTGTCGATACTCTTTTGTGACTTCCTGCCGTTAATCTATTTTTAGTTTTATTTCTATGTTCTGGGGGGATTGGGTAGATTTCTAGAACGAGAATGTGAATAGGTAGATATGTACGGGCTTGATGAGCTAGTCCATGAGTAGGAGTTTGTAGATTTATTTCGAGATTGAGTATGTTTGCAATTCCCATGAGATTTCTGTGCTAGAGATTCTAGAAGTCTCGATGCGAGGAAACACTCGTATGGCCAGGTTTTCTATACATATTCCTATATCGTTCTTCGTGGTCCGTAAACGTGGACACGGGGAATGAGGACTTAAAGATAGTAGTTCCGGCTTTCTCAATCGAAGTTCATCTGTATTAATAGACCTACGATGTATACTCTATCTCTTGATACCGAATCGCATATCCACATTCGGAAACACCGCAATATTGTAGGAGCTGATACAAACATCAAATGTAAATATAGTGCAGATAGGGTATATATTCAACAACTTTCCTATCCAGTCCATTCCATCTTCGCTGCGTTACGACCTTGAAAGCAGTTTTGATGTAAAGAATAAGAACTGTACAATAGTCCACAATCTTCCAAGACGAAAACACACCCGAACTTTCCGGCCCTTGAAAGCTGCCGGCGATACACCGTGAGATAATCGGGCCGAAGAAGTATAATTCTTGGATAGTGGAATAGATAACCCGGGAGTTAGTTCCTCAAGTTTCGACATTCCTTACCCGAGCTGGCTGGTGGAATTGACAGCGTACTCTTTTAACTTCTGGTCTAAAAGAGATCCTTTCACCGCTTATTGAATATTTCAGAATCTGCACCGAATCTCTCGGGAATTTAAATAGACAATCGTACTCCTAGCTGAATGCTGTGGGTCTAGACCAAACTATCGTCTCTGCGGGTAGATAAAGGAAGACAGAGTTCCTAGAAGATTCGTATGGAGCATGCTTTTGTGATGAATATGTAGTCATATTTCTTGGGGGAGGGGGATCCTCGGCATGTAGTTCTACAACGATTACTGCAGTATGTTAAAACAGTTAGGGTCTGTAAAGATGACATACCATTTCGAATCCAACATCGATACGGATTAACTGGGGTAACTCAAAAATTTTCAGAACAAACTTTAGATTGAAAGCACATTGTTCGAGTTGCAGAAGAATAATCAGAGACTACGATATAATTGTAATTGGATGGGGTAATTCCATATCGCCCATCTAAGCTCTTCTCCATTTCGCAAGTGAAAATCATATATCCAGTATCAAAGCCATTTCTCTAGAAAACTCAATCTGGCGAGATCCTAGTGAAAACAGAACGCGGAAAAAATCATAGCTAGAGACGATGTTCGTATGTAGGCCCCTTCATTAGAATTCGGTTAACATTGTTCGCGTAGTCCAATCCAAGATAGAACTTTACCCCGCAGCCTTTTTCTTTCCAAAGTTGGAGGATTTCATGTTAAGCTATCGTCAGACTAATTCAAATGCGATGATTTGAGATATCAGTTGTTCAGGACTTGAGAGCCTTTGGTATCTTCGAAAGACGTGAGATTGTTCCTTGTCTTTACATTATTGGTACAAGGAGTGTGTAGTTTTGATCCACGATAATGCTCTGCATGGAATAAATTCTAAGGCTAAATTCCTCAATAATTATTGATATCATATCAATCACAGAATACTTTGTATGGAATAGACAATTCAGGGACAATTCGGGCATTTGCTCTCTGGTACGCACTTCGCCCACACGGGGATCTTAATTCTATCATCTAAATATTGCCAATAAGCATCCAGAACATAACAAAAGGCTTATCCAAAGGAACTCGTCATATCAATTAATGTCTAAACTCTCGGAATGTATTCAATGACAACAAAGTATATGAATTTAGACATTCGGATGTATCTTCCTGTGTGTGTGTGAAGCCACAGCGTAAGAGATGGCATCCTGAGGTTCCAGTGGAGCTGAGCAATTAGCATTATAGGCGGTCTCGGACTTGATGGACGGAGCTAAAATCTATGCAGAATTCACGCTCCTATGGATTCTTCTCCCAATTCCGGTTCAGTTCGTCAAAGAATCAGAGTCAGGAGCGGTCTGACTATATCGACCATTATGTTGATTTGGAATCTGCCACCAGAGAATACAAGCAGAATTCCTGGCCCCATTCTGGATGATTCTCAAAGATGTTGAGTTATCCCCACTAAAAGCAAGAAGAGTGACCAAAATCAGGGCATATCAAGAGAGAATGCTTCAATTAACTTTGAAAGTTGGGCTCTGAAAATTTGTTTGCAGTTGAAGAACAAGCAATGGATTTTTGATTTTCTCCTAAATGATAGCGCATTAAGGTCCCAAAATATTTGAGATGGCAGACAACTGACGATCAAACGAACAAGCCAATTTCAATACATGCAGTCTTGAATACATGAACTGAGGCAACATTTTCGTGAATTCTTCAGTGGGAATTACATGCCATTATTTTGACCACCTAATTTGTATCATTTGCAAATGTTATGCTATTACCAACAGCTTTGTCTTAGTCTACTTTTCTAGACCCCCTTTTTCCATCCTTCGCTGCACGACTATATCCACCGTCTCAGTAGTTGCTCTCAATTCAACCACATCCTCGATTCGCTCTAGTTTCACTTCTCAACCTCGATATAAATCTCTCACCCGCGATTTCGAAAGTTGTGAACGTATGTGTCTCCGCGGTAGCAAGTTTGAATGCATGATATTGATCTAGAGACTGTCTACAACACTCTTGTGGAATATAGAATGTATTTTTGGGGCATAAGGGATCTGATACAGAATCTGATGAAAGGGAATGCTTATTCTCAAAAAAGGGCCGAGGCAGCTCGCCAGTGTTTCGGAGCATCTAATATTCCCTATAAACCTATCAAGAGTAGGTATGGAATATAGTTTTGATAGGGGAAAATGAGTTAAAGACTGAAAATAAAGCTTATTCTTTGTTTTTAGTTTTCTTTTCAATTCTTTATACATTTGAACCCGTAATAAAGGTATCATATAGTTAACTACCTATATACAAATCATATAATCACACACAAATTGGATTCCTGGGTATAGAAAACACAATCAATATACGGAATACGCCATACAAAAATTCCGTAAAATCCGACGCATAAGTTTCTTTCGCTACGCTCCGAAACATTGGATCTGATGATGAGAGGGTTTGGTTCAGGGTCACTGTGGCGGGTAATCCGAGTAACAGAGTATTAATTTGTGGCATGATTTAAACGAACAAGCAGCCATAGTATGGAATAATTTGGGATAAAAAAGATTGTACCATGCATGGAATGAGACAGCACAGCTGTTAAACTGTATACCTTTATGATTTGAAATATTGATTCGCACGCTCACAATTTTTCGCACTTGCGAAAGAAGGGCAATCCAGTAGAAGCATCTGGAATACCACAGAGAATTCTGGAGAAACCATAAACAAAAAAGAGAGCAAAAAGACAGCATCAGGTACAAGGCTGAACTCTTCCCCGATGCAAAGAAATAGAGGAAGAATTAACAGAGCATGAGGAGGCAAAGGATATATCTGAGCATGTTTGATAATTAAGAAAGAAAGCTTGAGTCATAGGTCAGAGCCACTTGGTCCTTTAATATTATCATGAGCTTGATACTACTATCAAGGGCACCAAGAGTTTAAAACGATAATCTCTGTAGATGCCTTACTCCCGTTCCTTCAAGAATTCCCCTATCACTCCACGGACTTGTGACCCAAACAACAGACGACCTTGGAATCGAGTTTCTGTTGTGGAGCTCCTAAGGTTGGCTAATACGTCGACGCATTGCTCTGGCGACAGAACGAATTCGGTTCTTTTGTTTGTTGTATCGGGAATGATCGTAGATATGCGCTGGAGCAATTCTTGCCACCAAAGCTCCTGCCACCAAAGCTCCTGCCACAACAGAGTTTCTGCTCATTGACCCAAGATCAATTTCTCTAGTGATAAATTGAGGTCTGCACGGGACCGAACGCAAGCCATCAGGTAAACGAAGTGTTGGCCGACGATTAAGAATGCAGAGTCTTATTCTGCTATCATCAAAGTGTAGCATTGATAGGTCCGTCGTTTTGACGCTTTGTATATGATGACGGGGAGGCAAAAGCACCTCACAACAAGGCTAGGTGCTGTGCAGTAGTCTTCTCTTTTCGCTTTACTTAGATGCAACTTTTTGGGGTTTCCGGTGCATCGCAGAAATAAAACACAAAATTACTGGTGAATGAGGGGTTGGATATTGTTGGTGAGTAGGAAACAGGTGACTGTCCACTAAGGCTTCATTGGGCCTAGCGCAGTAATACCTTATCCTCCTTATCTTCATAACGTTTTCCATTTTGTATCACCGAAGCAAGCATTGAGAAGCTCCAAGATGGTAATATCACAGTTTCAACCGCTTCCACCGAAAAGAGTTGGTTTCATCGCAGGAAATATCGAAGCTTTTTAACATGGATGGACAAATGCCGAAGGGACCCCCCCCTTGAGAGATAATGCGACTTTATCGCCATCGATATGGTTTCTTGCGTGATTAATCTCTGGACCTCGACGCAAAAGTATATAAAGTACATAGGATTCCCATCTCTAAGACTCAGTTGGTTCTTCCTCTACACATTTATTCTGCTTCATCTCAGCACATTGCAGAATGCACAATAAGATGCATAGTTGTTTTCAAATGCATTGATTTTGTGGTGAAGTTAAAATGGTAAGGGCTAGTTTGGATGTACAAATCCGCACTGGATCCGCTAAATATTCCGCTCTTTTTGAAAGCGGATTTTGAATTCATATTTGAATGTCAAATTGCGGATTCCATCAAATAATCCGCATTTCAATGAATTTAGTATATTTCGAGGTGGGGAGAAGATGGATTACTCTAAAATGACATTAAATAATCCGTGTTTTTCACCAAATTTGTATGGGAAAACAAGGGTACGGATTGAAAACGAGGATTAGAAAAAGCAGTCCTCGTTTTCAATCTAACAAATAATCCGTGTTTTTATAGGCTCTTATAGGTCTTTCACCCTATATCCATATAGTATTATAATAATATTAGTACTTCAAATACCTAAGTTTATAGGGTATCTTTATTTTTCTTCAAATCATTTCTAATTTCGATTTAGATTACTTTATATTTCTATTTCCTATATACTAAAATATATATAGCTTAATTTAAAAGTAGATTCTTCAATATTCTTTTTATTATAGTTTTAGATTCTATTAATAATTTAGATTGTAAATTGCCTTTTTCTTATTCATAATAAATAACAATAAGATTGATAATTCTGAATAGTTTATTCCTATCTTGATTTATAATTTAGCTGCTGTTATTGGCTCTTTTTATTATATTCCAATTTCGAAAAAAAGAACTGATACTTCTAATGAATTTAAAATACAATCTCTTCTTGATTTTAAATACCCTTAATGTTATCAAGAACAACTGTATATGCCTCTACACACTTTTCGACTTTTGATCGAGTTTTGTCACAAAAAAATAAAGCTACAACATTCTCAATATACTTTAATTGATCAAAAACTATATGTATTTCTCTATATTATAGGCCAGCATAGAATTATACATAGTATAGCTGAAGTCTTTTCTCATTTTAAAGAAACAATCTATAGATATAAAAAACATCTTATATAAATCTACTTATTGGTTTATTCTAATATACTTTAAGATAGTTTTATTAAGTTTTAGATACTATAATAATATTATACCCATTAGTAGTAAAGCTACCGGATTTAACTATACAATTCGCTCTTCCTTGAGTAGTAGAAGATGAAAAATATCGTATATATTTTGCGAATTGCCTAGAAGCTCTCGATAACACCTTTATTCCAGCAACAATACCTTTCGAAGATCGATCTGCTTATTTCAATCGAAAAGGGTATACTGTACAGAATGTTCTTGCAGTAGTTACTTTCAATTTACAATTCTGCTATATATTAGCCGGTTGGGAAGATTCTGCGAATAATCAAAAGATACTTTCAAATATTTTGATTTCAAAAGGTTTACGAATTCCAGAAGGTTATTATTATCTAGGTGATGTAGGATATGTAAATACTAGGCAGGTTCTTATTTCATTTAAAGGGGTAAGATATCATCTACAAGAGCAATTAGGATCCAATAAGATACTCAAAACACTAGAAAAACTTTTCAACCTTCGACATTCTTCTTTACAAAATAAGGTTAAGAGAATTTTTGGAATACTCAAAATGCGCTTTCCATTTCTAATATAACAATAAAAATACTTATATATAACTCAAATACGTATAGTTTATACTTTGTACACTCTACATAATTTTATTCAACAAAATAGCTTCGAAGAAGATTCATTCGAAATTCAATTTAATTGTATTATTGATTGTATTCCAAGCATTATAGATAATACAATAATGAATTCAAGCAGTAACAAATTAGACTCTATTTTGTTACAATCTATAAACTATTTTCAACAAGGAATTATAAAGGCTATATGGAGAGATTATTGCAAGGTGAAAAGAGTTCGAAAAGTGTAAGAGAAAGAAAAGCAATATTATATTGAAATAGAATTTGATAAGTATATATAATTAGAATAGAAAGTAATCATCAGGATTTCTTTATTTACCATTATCTTCTGCTATAGCTTCTGGTGTTTCTTCGAATTCTTTAAGGAGTTGAGAGAGATCTTCTTTTCATTCTGTATAATGGAATAGATTCCAAGCTTACTTATATCTCACCCTATCTTTAGGAATCCAAAATCCATATCTTTTTGGATTATAGCTTTTATTAGAGATCCATTATTCTTTAGGTCTAGAAAGCTTGATATCACTCTCTCCCTTTAGCTTCAAAATATTAGAGCTCCAAAAAACAAGATTTCTTCAAATAGCATATTGTCAACAACTGAATATTTTATAAAAAAGTTTATTAGAATATAAATATATTCTATTAATATATTAATAATTTGATATAATAATAAGTAAAGAATAGTAAATAAGAAATGGCTAGGGAGAAATAACTAATAAAAAAAAATCAAAATAAACCTACCCAGACAAATCTTTTATTTATAAAAAATCCAAAGATTCTTTATCAATTTTTTGTTTAGACTCTTTAAATTAGTTATAAATTGTTTTACGCTAACTTTTCAAGCTCTAATTCAAATCAAAATCCCAGAAAGTCCAACTGTCTAAACTTATATATTAGTATTTATAGAATCAATAAACATTATATCTTTATATTTGTTTTAATTCTTGATTGATATTCAAATCTTTTAAATCAATCTTTTCAAACTCTTTAACTTTATTGTTCTCTTCTTTATTATTAGATTCCTTCTCTTCCTCTTTCTTTTTCTTATCAATATCAACTTCCCAACCCTCAAAATCTGTTTCGGAATTATCTGATTCAGACTTTGATACAGGATTATTATTGTTTTGAACAAGATTTTTTGCTTTCAACATTTTTCTAAATAAAATTAATTAAAATCAGATTTTCATTTAAATCCACGTACTGAGATTGTTGCATTTCGATATTCAATCGAGTTTGTACAACCATTTCATCTTATCTATTCTTCGATACCTTTAAAAAATCAGAAGTTTTACGAAGCACTTTCAAAGTATAGGAAATCTAATGCTTTTTTCTATCTTTCTCTTTTTCGACTTCTAGCTCTTTAAATGTCATTCTTGCCTTTCGATTGCATGTATTTCTAGCTTTTCGCTTTTGCGAATATTCTTCTTGCTTTCCCTGTAGCTTTTTTTTATTAGATTTAGTTACTACTGGCATCTTTTTGATTCTTTAAAGCTTAAAAGAGATTCAATATTATAAATATAATGCTTATTATTGTTATTGTTATTGTTATTCCTAAAAGCACGTTGTTTATACTGTTTGTAATATTTTCGTATTCGGAATAACTATATTCCATAAGAAATAAATAATATGATTGGTTGAATTACGCGATACATAATATATTAATTTACAAATACATATTTCTAAACATTTAATTTTTCAATACTTATTCCTTTCGCCCCCATTCTTGAAGCTTTTTAGGTATACACCCCTTGAATATTTGAAACCTTTTCTATAATAAACTGAAATGATTCAAATCTAGACCTTGAAAACACTACATTCCAAGAAATCCTGTAGCTGTAATATAAACTACAAACGTACTATATAGAGAAGCTATATCACATACTAATATCGAAAAGAGATCAACAAATAAACAAAAACTAGATGTAAATGGAAGATCACCTTTTTTTAAAAATAAGAGTATAAAGAAAGCTTCAAAAACAAAGGTTCAAAGTGTAAGAAAGCAGTCTAAAAAAGGAAAAGCAGAAGTTGCTAAAAGAGCTCATTGATGGAAAGTGGGGAGTAAGTAAACCTTTTCTTGATTTCTAAGCTTCTTTCTTACTAATTGAGTATAGCGGTTGCATTACGAGAAATTAAAAAGTATCAAAAATCGACCGAATTGCTCTTGAAAAAAGCCTTTTTTCAATGTTTAATTAAAAAGATTTCAGATCAATTTGCACTTGGTGGAGAGTATTGGAAATGGAATGCTACTGCTCTTATAGTAATTCAAAAGGTAGCTGAATCCTTTATAATTACTCATTTTGAGAGTACGTTTTCTATTCTTTCTATTTATTAATTGAATAGATTATTGATTTAATTTATAATATTATAATATTATGCATTTCATGTAAAGAGACAAACTATTAAAGATATAGATAGCATTTTTCTTCAAAGAATAATGGAGCTGGCAATCCCTATTATTGGTGGATATTACACCTTAAAAGACTAAACTTTACAGTTTTCTCACTAGCCATTTCTCACTAGCCATTTCTCACTAGCCGTTTCTCACTAGCCGTTTCTCACCAGTTGTTTCTCACTTGCCATTTCTTATTAGCTAGTTATTACATATTTATATTCTTTATTTCACATATTTAGGGCTAATGAATAGATGTTATTCGTACTCATATATTGTTAATATCAAATAAGACAAAGGTATTGAAAGATATAATATTAATATCTAATTAAATAAATATAAAGGTTATATTAATAAAAACATATAATAAAGAGAACAGAGTGAATAGAACTGCCAAATCAAAAGCTATTAGAACTTGAAAGCCATCCTTTATTTAAAGCTTGTTATAAAAGAGCGGATAATAGAGGTATTTCATTATTTTCCTTTTCATACTACTCTTTAAGCTCTCTACAGATCTTATCCACAAACTCTACTTGAAATGGGCTTATACGTATAAACATCAGTAGCTTATTATAAGATTGGTGAACACTAGGCACCGGATATTGTAGGAAATCAATAAGCTTGAAAGCAATATCAGCCCCTAGGGACTTATATTTACTAGAGTAGTTTTGTGTGATCATATAGTATACTTGGTGCCAAAGGGGCAGTGGGTTGTCGACTTGAGTATGTAAGGTGTTAGAATGGTTTTTCGATTTATTAAAATCTCTTAAAGATTTATTAATATGAAGTAAACTATCTGCAACTTCAGAAGAGATAGTTTTTCAAGGCTTTTTCAATAGTGTATAGCTTGCAATAGATTATTTATATCACTCTGTTTCTAATTATAAATCAGTTAATAATAAAATACATCTCAAAAATATAAATTCCTTATCTTATATATTCTAGAGCTATATTTATTCCATTTTTTAATACTCTTATCTGAAAAAAATATAGAGTGTATTGAATTAGCAAAATTATCCTCCTTATCCGAAGAAACAATTGTTTGTTGTATTAAAACTATAGGATGATATACAAATTTATTACTAGCTATACGAATTTCGAATAGAAATTAAAGAATCGACTAGCTTTCTGTATAATGACTTCGATACCAATGATATTTTCGATTATTAGCTTTGCTTACTTATAAAAGTGTTTTCCATAAATGATCAGGTGTATAAGACTACATAATATTATTCTTTTCATTAAATCTAATGCCCCAACCAGATAGATTAAAAAGATACCAACACTCTATATAATATCCCTTAATCTAAATCAAATCAATTAGATCAAATAAACAATAAAAAAAGAGAATGTTTATATCGAATTGATTTTCTTTTTAATTTGATTACCAGTTAGATTCTCATTACTATTAATACATATCTTATGCTCTAAAGCAATAGCTTATACAAATTGACTATAATGAAGTATTCTCTATCTAATGAATTAATCTAATTGTTGATTAATCTTCTATAAATAACTTTGTATTAAGTTTAAAAAAAGCTTTTCGTAGGGTTTCTATTTAAACTAATTCATAGATTTCTTTAAAATATCTTTGGTTTCAATTTCTGGATTCACTGATTTATTCTTTCTTTTAATAATATTGGTAAAGGGGTTCTTTTTATTTTTTAAACTACTACAGGTGTTATGTTTTGGATTTTGATTAATGTTATAACTATTATCGATATCCTTTTTGTTGTTATTATTCTCATCACTATCTATATCGATATTTATTGAAAGCCTTTTATCGATTTCGGAATCCTACTATATATTATAAATTAATATAATTAAAATAAGCTTTATTTGAATCAAATATCTATATATAGCTTTTCTTTTTTGTAGAGGATATTTTCTTCTAATTGAAGGTAGTATTGTTATTATAAAAGGAACTGGATAATGAATCTCTAATGAAAAAAGAGGAGGAGATATCATAATCTCGAAATTGACTTTGAGATTCGGTTGCTTTTACTATAGATTTGGGCTTTCGTTTGGAATAACGAATTAGGGGAGAGGGACTTCAAATTCGAGATCTTCTACCTCTTTTTTGTACAGATATAAACCTTCGATTGCTATTGTCATCAATAATTTTCGACTTCCTAAACGCTTTCGAGGTGTTTTGGGTAATAATTGCATTATTAGCTATTGAAATAATTTTATATATAAAAAATAGCTTCAAAAATACTTCAAAAAAAGGTTCTTTTTTGAAAAGAAAAGAAAAAAGAAAGATAAAATCAAAATATATTTCTTTTCCAATTCTAAGTACTTTTTTAAGATTATTACTCTATTAAAGCTTTTTATATAGTTTTCAATTTTAAATATGGGGTTTTAATATCGAATTGAAGTTTAAATTGAATATTCTAGAAAAACCATGGATTATTTGGCGGATTTGATATCCAAACTATAAAACCACAGATTAATAATCCGCTCTTTTTGAAGCGGATTGATGTTATTACAAAATCCGTGATGGCACAAAGTGCAGATTATTTCAGCAGATTCAGCACGGATTTTACATTCAAACTAGCCCTAAGCCATTACAATATTAAGTGGGAAGAATTAATTTTAAACACCCAGCGGTCATACACATCAATCTCATTTCCTTTTCCAGCTTCCAGTTCCTATTCCAAACTTTCCAAGCCGTCCAAACTTTAACATTCCATCATTATTACAACCCTCTTATCCTTATCATTCATCCGATTACTTAGAAAGCAAAGACAGCGGCGACACCAAGAACAAGAGCACCCGCAAAGCTAGCTTTAACTTGGGCTCCAGCGCCGGTGAATGGAACAGTCGTTGAGGTAGGTGATGGACCGGTAGCGGTAGCGTTGGATCCAGAGCCACCAGTTGGTGCAGCTACGCCTGAAGTAATTGTGGTGGCGACAACAGACGATACTGGAGTCGAGGCTTGGGAAGAGACGGGAGTGGAGGCGGCGGTGGAAGAGACCACAGTTGACGACTCAGCAGCAGATGAAGAAGGAGCGGCAGCAGAGCTACTGGGTTCGACAACCGAAGAAGATGGAGCAGCGCTAGCAGAGCTAGCAGAAGTTGGTGCAGCAGATGAGGCAGGAAGAGCAGCACATGCGGCAGCAGCGGCAGCTGGAACGGCTTAACTGAAGTCAGTTGGGTCGATTTGAAGATCAAAATATACTACTTACTCAAAGCGACGGTGATACCGCAGGAACTGATGACACAGGTTGTAGCAGCGTTTTGAATACTCGAGACGTTGTCAGGTAGACATTGGCAAGCTTTATCAGTAGCTCCACAGGTGGTCTCTGATTTAACTGCTTTGTCGATACAAGGTTGTGCACAAGCTGGAATTCCGCTGTCTTGAGCAAGAGCCAAGCTGGCAAGAGCCAAGACTGAGACGATGGTGAATTGCATTTTGATGGTTACTTTGGTATAAGGATTGCCTTAAAAACGAGTGGTTGGCAACAAAAATGATTGACGATATACAGAGAGTCTTGATGTTTGATTCTGAAAGACGGTTGGAGAAGTAAGTCACCCAGAACTGCAGATGACCGCACTTATATATCTGTGAACAAGTCTAATACGAGAGTCAATTTAGGAAGATATTCTATAATGTCTAATTGCTCCACACTCTGCAGTAAATGACCAGCTAAGAGACAACCAACAACTCGTTTCCTATTTCGTAACAATACCCGTCAATGGTGCCAACGAGCGACAAACAGGGTATCGAGTCAGCTTGGAGAAACCCGACCACTTGTGCGGAGAACGCTGTTCGATCGAAAAGCAGGATCAACAAGCTCCCAGCTTGAATTACGGCCAGGGGGGCGTCCAACATATCCACTAAAGATATAGCAAGTGTTACATACTTAGGGCAATGTGTCGCAGTGATTGGACATGGCTATTATCGATCAATCATATTTAAGAGGCAAACCTCTAATTGTGATGCAGGAACGACATTACTAACATTTACTGCCGAAAGAGCCTTCCAATGGCACCTACCATTTCAACTATTTCAACTGTGGCCAATACTCAAAGTTCGTATTCCTCTTGTTATACTACGAAAAATCTAGAGGCGGGGATATTTATTGGACTCAATTTGATTGGGGCAAATTCTGGAGATTCTGGGGTATGACAAGGATGATTATGCACAGTCTGGGGTAATACGCCAACCAACCTATACTACACTACACTTTACTAACCACATCGGCAAATTTCTTCCGATACCGAGGAAGACATCTTTTTGACATCTGATCTTACTTACAAATAAGAAGTTATCACTCAAGCCACTCGAGCCACCAAAGTTTCTGGGTCACTTTTCCTACCGAAGTTCCGAATTTGAGCTATTGCTTCTCTTGAAGAAAATTCACCCTCTTCCCCCCTCGCAACATTTTTGCAACAAAAATACTCTCCGAATGCATGCACTCATCCGAATAACAAAGATTTGACATTATATTTTCCTTTGAAGCAAGGCTTCGCAGCGTACATACATAAACAAGAGTCTGGTTGACGCTGACAAGGACAAGAGAGACTGAAAGTAAACCCCCCCAATGTTGTTTGACAAATTGAATTGAAGCAAAAGATTCACCACCACCACCAACAATCAATCGGCCCTCCTAAGTCTGTGCAAGTGTACACTTTCGGAACTCCCAACAGATCCCTAATGAAAATCCTGTGCTGGGGTCCTAACATATTGTGTTGATTTCTATTCACGGCACGAATCAAATCTTCATTTTCAAGAATCGAATCGGAAATCATCCTAGTTGCTACGCGTAAACTGGAAGAGATTCTTATCGAATCAGGAAGGTATCATGCGACCTTTTAGTTTCTTTTATATAATTGCAACTGAGATCTACGATCATTTGTCAACTTCTGAACAGCATTAATTTACATATCATGGCATTGGACTTTAATGTCGGTTGTGATTCCTAGAACATCTTTAATCTTGGATGAAGAGAGCATATGAGTTTTCGTCGAATATGACCGCGCACAATGAGTTGTTACATTGCTTGTGCCTGATCTACAGTTACAGTCTGTGTTAGCTGACCGAAATAGTTCAAGGTTTTACGGGGAAGCCCGAGCAACGTGCGCGAAGAAGTAGGATATTGGAACGACGACCTTTAGTTATTTTCACATGTTACTCAACTCGATTTTGAATCTTTCAGTACGAAGTTAATGTTTTGCAAAAAAAATAATTCATCGCTATTGTTGTTGAGGTCTACTTCCATTTCCCAAATACCGTAGTTGCACAGACAACTCACTATGTTTGAATTTTGAACAAACTATTAGACGTCCCACCATCGGTACGTCTCACAGCTCGGGCACTTGTCGCTTTGAAATTGCAGTGGTTTTGAAAATTCCCGATATCTTACTTCGATCATTCTAGTCAATTACTATTCTCCTAGTTCTCTCTGTCTAACCCTCGTCCTCCCCGCCAGTTGTCGGACGAGGCAAATGAATCGCAAATCAAATGAAACCAAATAAATCGCCGAACTCCTGGTATCATAAAAGCAAATGTCAATTGTATCGGGATTCGGAGTATGAAATCACGAAACAGATGCGTGGCATCCTCCTGTACTCTGTTAGTGACGATATATTTGATGCTAGGTCAGCGTACAAACTTTGTTACTTGGGCGAGAATGATCTCGTCTCCGCTACCTATGTAGCCATGTTATTGTTCTATACTCGATCTCAAAATATCCCCATCGAACATCTTTGCGTATCCACGAGGAGATTCACGACCGGAACGGAGCAATCCAATGGAAGAGTCTTTCAGAGTGATAAGGCTATCAACTGGTTTGCTCTTTCTCATTCCCTTGAACCATGCGGCCCCCTTTTTTATTGGCTGACTTCTCCATGTCATACTATTTTCCTCGTTCTGCTCAGTGCTTTATATCATTAGCGTTCTATCTTTGCTTCGATATGTTTGTTGCTGTATATACTTTGCAGAGTATGGCACAATACCATATTGTTTGAAGAATTTGTTCTTTTGTAATATTTTTCTCTGTATAACTATTTCACTGCTAACAGAAAAGGATCTCGTAAGATTCGTATCTACGGTAGATCTCATGCTCAAGTCGTGTCGCGCGCCGTCGTTACCAGTTGACTCACATCGACCACCTTGATTTGAACAAGTGGACTGATTTGAATGCATGGATCGAAATTGGAAGGATGGTCTATTAGGCATCTTGATTATTGTCAATCTTTGGCATGACATTATTGCAAAAAGCCAACAAGAGGGATTTCTTTTAAGAAACTTCGAGGATGGATAAGCAAAAGTCTTGTGCGGATAGTGAAAAGCTACCCTGAAAAAGTTTCCACCACACATAGGTCTCGCCCCAAAAACACGGACGCTTCGAAACTCATCGTGTCTGTAGCAACACAGTATAATAGCATGATATTATTACTTATTGCATGACAGTGCACAGTCGTCTCGACTTTTCGACCCCTCCTATTTGCTGACGGAGCGGATAAGGAGGAGTCTGTGCATTCCGGCGCATGGTTCGCTCGATGCCTTTTGAGGAGCAAGGTCCTTTTCAAACAGTTTAGCATCTCATCTATTCATGCCAAAGCTTTCAAAGACGAATTAAAATCCGCCTGTCAGATATAAAATTTCCGATCTCTCTCACGAGATGTTTCGTTTATTGTTTGAATAGTAGATTTTCGTCCCATAACGAACTGCTTTAGAGAATTGCATTAAAGACTTCTTACGTGGAGTTTGAACAATGAAAGTGCATTATGGTTTATGTATTTGGTAGGAGAATTATATTTTTACTTTGCTTCTCGTTGGCACTGACGAATAGGGTAAGAAGTGCGAGTATGGAGCGAATCGACAAGTTTGTCTGTCATTGTCGTCTATTGATTGATCTCTTGACTTTTGCATATTTTTCTTCACTCAATTTTTCTTTTCCCGTTCACTTTGTAAAGCGCCCTTGATGGGCTAGCTAACGACTCATTGATTTTTTAATGTTTTGTTTCTGCGATGCTAGATGGAGGATATAGATTTCTCTTTGAAATTCTTAAAAGCAACATGAATAGAAGAGACGAAGATCAGAGTCAGGACAGTCCATTCGGCACACCTCAATCTTCAAATAATGATGGAACCAAAAATAGTAATAATATCCCCTCCACATCTTCATCCACAAGTCCACCCGGTCTTGAACCTCATCTCATTGCCTCTCCATCAAAAGGTTTAGACCCAGGCTATATCATCGGCATACTAGTCGCAGTTGCTGTCGCTATCTTTCTCATCATAGCTCTAATCGACATCCTCCTTCTTTCTTCCCGTATCCAGAATTCGATATTGAGGAATAGATTCCTGAAATTAAATGGGAGACGGCAATCTGGCTCTTCGCAATACTACTCTCGACGGAATGAGAAATTAGATAAGAAACCTTTACCCACAATCCCTGATCCGGCATATTTTTCAAAGGATATTAGAGCGAGTGATAGAAGGAGGAGTGAATTTTCGGGATACTCGGAGTCGAGGTACTCGAGGAGTATGTCTTTTGATAGTGGGGTGAGATGGGGTAGAGATGAGGAGGAAGGTTATGCGAAAAGTTTTATTGGGGGTGGAAGAGAGTGGGATGAGAAATTTACGAGATCGATTGCGAGGTCTGCGAGGCAAGAGAGGTGGAGTAAAGATAATGGAGTAATCAGACCGGGCATGGGAGTTGGAAATGGGGATGATGAGGGGGAGGGGGAATGGTATTCGATGTACGAGGAGTCGATCTATACGGATGATGGACGAGAAAATCCGATTCCTGATGCTTACAATCCTTCCTATCCATTTTATCCCTCTCATGTATCTCAATCTACGGACCACAAAAATCAAAAACCATACGACGAAGAGAATACAATGGGATTGACAACAAAAGAAAGAGCAGAGATCAAAAGAACGAGAACTACCCCATACAAATATGAAGGGAGAATCAAAGCGGGAATGGGCGTGCAGAAAAGACATACGATGATTTTTGTGAGGGAAGTAGAGGAGGTGAGGAGGGCAATGGAGAGGATGGAGAGGATGGAGGAGAGGGATAGAGTTAATTTTGAAATTTGAAAAGGTTTTGGAAGAAAGGGGGCGAGGGGATTGGGGGGAAATAATGATGTGGGATGGAGAAATATAAGGAAAGGAACGAGTGAGCAGAGGGAGTTGGGGAGAGAGATCTTGATTGAGGGCTCTGAGGTTTTGAAGTGAATTGCGGGGGTGGGAGGAGGATCAAAGAAGAGAATGGTTCTTGTATATAGCGATTTGAACTGGATTTGGAACTCGAAGAGGGATTGGAGTGGTAACTTGTGAGCGACCAGCTGGATATCTGGAGCCCGCTTTAATTATATGATAGATGATGTATGTTACATTGACCTATAAACGTCAATCACCCTCATATGTTGGCGTATACAACAGACCTAGCTTTGACTCCTCTGTAGTTGATTTAATATAGATGGATATTCACGATCTCTCTCTAGGTATGATGAGATTGGTCGTTCTCGAGGGATTTCATGGGGTTATTTTTCTGTGGGATGATTAGAGAGGTAGATATATTGTATGTATTATCCGTTTATTCATTCTGGGAATGGGGGTTTCTCGTACTTGTTTGGAAGCGATACGATTTGGCGAGGAGAAAAGAAATGTTTAGATGATAGTGCTGTCTCTAGTGTAGGTATGTATACCTACCTAGTAGATAGATAGATATCGAATAAACCACTAGCAGCCTGGATACAAAAAAGGAGAGATGAAATATAATATACAATATATATACATATATACATACATGCATATACTACATACACTACCCCCATATAATCATATTAAACTAAATCCAATCCAATCAAAATATCCAACATTTCATCTCATCTTATAAATCCATCCAGATTCTATATGGATGTATATCAATATATATCAGTCAGTTAGCATCATAGTGATTCATCGACATCACTCTCAACCCCCTTCAGAATTCCTACCCACTCACCCACTCAAAGAATTCAACAATCACAACTCCTTACTTCACTTCATTCAATATCAGTGTAGGCAATGGTATTTCCCATATTTCGTATATGGGTTAGTTTAATAATACATATCGAATTTTTTCAATATATATATAATCATCGAAGAACCGGGACGCAACCTCCGCACTGGCCTCGTCATTATTGTTGAGGTCCTCCCCCTGAAACCCATATTACAATTGTTAGTAACGATCACAATAGGGGTACAAAAGACAACTCACAGTAGTGCGGTATATATCGACGAATTAGGTAAAAGAAGATGTAATAAATTCCATAACCTTATTCTATCGAACCTACATGATAGCCTCGATAACAATAGAAGTGCGATGCAATTCTCGATCATAGTGTATATAGCGGCCTCAGATATATCGAAAAAATTATGGTATTCGAAAGGAATCTCAGTGGACCAATCGATATTGATAGTACTAGCAATGACAAGCAACTTTTTGTGGGCTCGAAGGCTATAGATAATTACGAAAGTATTAAGGTTCCAATTAGTATTATAAATATTGGGCTTACTTGTAGCTCTTTATGTATTTTCCTTATAGATGATAATAATATGTAGAGTAGTTATTATAATATTTATATAGTTTGTGGGAATCTATATTAGAAGTTGGATTATTAGCTGAGTTTCTTTAAAGACGAAATCTAAAAACAAAATATATATATTACAATACATACCCTTTTTGATATAATAATGAGAATATTTTCTATAAATATGAATATAAATTATAAAGGGATTATAGATAAGCTGATATAGATATTTGATATTATTGTTTTTATATAAAAAATAATATAATAATATATCTTTTTATATATATATATAGTTCTATATTCATATAGTATACTAAGAGCAAATCACAATATCACATGATCAGATCACATGATCGTCGCTTAAGAGAGCTCTTAGCCTAGAACGGCCTGAAAATCAATTCTTTATTAGCTCTTTATTAGTTCTTTCAATCCATTCGTAGTAAGATCGACATAGTACTAGCGAAATCGAATAAGGAATAAGAAAGAAAAGCTTTATTTGATGGAATGGCCGGATTAGGAAGAGATCTACGAGAAATAAACGAAAGTGGAAAGCTAGATTAGTAGGAAAAAGCATAAAATAAGGCCTTTTCCCCTCGAATATAGAAAAGAAAAAAGGGAATATCATATACTGTTTCATGAAAATCACGTGTTTCATAAGCTATTTAGTTGTTAATACGAGCCAGCTTCCCATAATAGACTAATACTAGTCTAATCCCTATTATATACTATATATACCATATACTCATATACTAGCTCATGACCTACGATAGATATAATAGCTGCGAAGGGAGTATATAATAAAACGAGATTGAGGGAAGAGCCTTTGAGCACTAATCTTCTTGGATAGTTTGAATGGCTTAGGAGGTATTTTGATATAAATCTATTCCGAGATTAATAGGAAGTTGTATAAAATAGTGGAGTTCAGATAAGTAATAGAATAAAATATAATAGAATTATGGGGGAATATAAAGAAATATATATTCTATTATAAAAGATAAAATGAATAATGTATAAAGAATCAAATGAAATAAATAAGGAGAAAAAGTCAAGAAAAATAAAAAGCAAACAAAGAAACACAATTGTTATAAAGTAAAAGCAAATAGTTATAAAGTTATATTATTACAACAATAATATCAACAACAAATACTTATAACAAATATTATTATATTAATATAAAAGAAAAGGGGAATCAATATTACCAAACAGGATAATAATAGATCATATATTAGTAACTTATAAAATAGAAACGAAGCATTTAATAATATCATTTTCAAAATACAGATAGTATAAGCTATAAGTATTAAACAAAATAAATATATAATATAAACAACTCAATAGAATACCAAAAGGGAATAGATTTTTATATCTTTTTCCTATCTATTTCATTCAATTAAATATAAACTGTCACGGGATCACCTCTGGGAGTATTCAGAAGCTTTACCGCTGAGCTAAACGCCCAAAAGACTAGGAGGTAGAACTGGAAGTTCTATCTTACTCTCACATATATAGCAGGACAGGACAGGACAGAAAGGGCTTAGTGTCACCCCGTGACATAAACACAAATACATCGCATAGTCTTAGCATAGTTAGATAGACCAAATCGATTATGAATTTACTACTACTACTATATATATAATATAGAATTCAATATTACTAAAAGTATTCAATGTTATTTAATTATTCAATATTATTAGCAATATTTTGAAATATTAGAATCCAATATAAAATATACATTCCTATCCAAATTAAACTAGAAATAAGGAATTCCTATTCAATCTGAAATAAGAAATAGAATTTTATTATCTAATATAAATAGAAATCCCTTTTTTCTAATCTAATTAGAATAGAAATCCCTTTTTTCTAATCTAATTAGAATAGAAATCCCTTTTTTCTAATCTAATTAGAATAAAAAAATATATTTTTATATTGGATTTCAGTATTTTGGTATATTATTAATATTCTTTAGATATATAAATATATATAAGAATGATATAACCTCCTTTCTATATATACTAGTTGCAATATCAATATACTAATACACGCCACAGTTTTACTATAGTATACTATTGCTTATACTACTCAATATCACATCACACCACACCAAATCACACAAGCATACAAATCCATATACCAATTTGTAAAGAGAAGATATATTTTAAATTGGTTCTATTCTATACTATGTAAAAAAGTAGTGAGTAGTGTGATATCGTCAGATACATTTCTATCCCACCACATTGCATCCCATTCCATTCCATCATGAATCAATCAATCAATCCACGTTTCCAATCATGTATCCCCTTATCTATCATCTCCCCCTCCAAATCTATAATCAAATTCCAATCCCATCTTATATCAAGCCATAAAGCTCAAGCCTGATATAATCCCCCAGCCCACCCGCCCCACCTCCCAAAACGCCATGGCATTGCCAAAAAAGACCCTTTTCTATCTATGGTCTCATGACCCCATTAGAAAGTGAAAAAGAGGTATAAACTCCCATGAGGTATCTCTGCGTAACGCTGATCACATCTGCAACCATTAATATGCATTTTAAAAAAGTTCAAATCCCTTTTTCATATCGAACATTCCCTTTCTCTCCCAAAGTCCCATAATTTCTTTACTTGTGTCTTCCCAAACTCTGCAAGTTAACCAACTCCGAGTATCTACCTCCCTTGTGAATAAGTTCTGTATGTGTACCGCTCTCTACAACTCTTCCTTGATCGAAAACATAGATACAATCCGCCTTTTGAATTGTACTCAATCTATGCGCAACAGCAATTGTAGTTCTTCCCTTTGCTGCCTTATCCAATGCTGCTTGCACAACATGTTCACTCTCCGAATCCAAAGCACTGGTAGCCTCATCCAACAACAATATTTTAGGATCACGAAGTAAAGCACGAGCGATAGCGATTCTTTGTTTCTGACCACCAGACAACATGCTACCCTTGGAACCAACGATTGTGGAAAATCCATCCGGAAGTGACATGATGAAATCGTAGATATTAGCTTCACGACATGCAAACTCGATTTCGGAGTCAGGAACATCTTCGCGATCGGCTCCGAGAAGCATATTCTCACGGATCGTGCCTTGGTAAAGGGTTGGTTCTTGAGATACGAGAGCAATGTGCGAGCGGTAATCGTTGATATTCAAAGTGGAAATTTCCTTGCCATCGACATAGATACCGCCAACGAGAGGATCATAGAAACGTTCGAGAAGAGCGATGGTGGTGGATTTACCGCAACCAGAGGCACCAACCAAGGCAACGTATTGTCCAGGCTTGACTTGAAGGTCAAGACCACGGAGAACTGGCTGCTCCGGACGAGTGGGGTAGCGGAAATGAACATCACGGAACTCAACATATCCTTCCATGGATTCCATACGCTCTCCATCCTCAGACCAAGAGTCAATGGTCGGTTTGAGATCGAAGAGAATCTTGAGTTCCTGGGCGGCTTGCTTGGCTTTACCCATGTCCGCTACGATTGATTAGCATGATACTTCAGATGATAGATAGATAGAATGACTTACGTGCGAAGGAAAAGATGGTTCCGGCAGATTGAGCACCAAAGATGACAGCCGAGAAACAGACGAAGAATTGGAACATGGTGTATTCCTTGTTGGCAATGCGTTGGCCACCATACCAAAATCCAAGTGCAACACAGAGGAACATCAAAGATTGAGATGCAGCGTAAAGCAACGAAGACTTCAAAATTGATCTCAGACTCTTTTGTTCTTGAGCCTTGAGGGAATCGGTATAGTGAGCGAGAACATCATCTTCTCTAGTCAAAGATGCAACTGTTCGGATAGCACCAGTAGCTTCACAAGCATAACTTGCACTCTTCTCATATGCCTTCTTCGCTCTTTGTTGGAATCTAGCCAAGAGCCAGAATCTGAAGAAACCACAACCAAGTAGAACAGGAATAGTGGCGATACACACAAGTGCCAACTTCCAGGCAATAGCAAGAGAGAGAGCGCATGCGGCGATAAGGGTAGTAATGACTGTCAAGAGCGTACCCAATGTGACTCCAGATAAACCTGCAACGTGAGTCGTCTCAGTACTCAAGAATGATGTGAGAGCACCTGCAGTGTGTTCTTCCCGGTCAAAGTATTGGATATCCTGGCGAAGCATCGTACGGAACGCACGGTCACGGACTCTGTGAATGAGTCTCTCTGAGCAGAAAGCAAAAGCAATACCCTGACCACAGAATGCAATGAATTGAACAAATGCCAGCATAAGGTACATTAAGACCAGAAAATCGACATCGTGTCTGATTGTATGGAAATTGGCAGGAATAACGGGATAGGAAAGCGAAATGATATTTTTGGCGAAGAACACGGCTTGAGTTGGATTACCTCCACCGCAGATGATGGAAAAGAATAAACCGACCAACATCAATTTCCATTCAGTTTTGTTGAACGAAGCGATCAACTTAATCAACGTCCATAATGAATCATGTTGTTCAGATGGGGAGATCCTGCCTTGAAGTGCGAGAGAGGATTGAGATTTTTCTGTCAATGTTCGCATTAACTTGTTGAGGATGTTCTTGTCATCTGGATCCTCAGTGTATTCGATTCCTCCGACCTTGTTAGACATTTTGCGTACGAGTTGATCATCTTTGGCGTCAATCTCTGCCTCCTCCTCAGCAGACATTTCTTTGGTTTCAGCAATCTTTTGCGCTTCGATCAATCTATAGTAAGCACCTTGGCGAGCAAGTAAATCGTTATGGGTTCCTTGTTCCACGATGCGTCCTTCAGTCATGACAACAATGTTGTCAGCGTCCTTGATGGTGGAAAGTCGATGAGCAATTGTAATAGTGGTTCGTCCTTCAGCAGCAACCTCGAGAGCGGCTTGTACAACACCTTCAGATTTTGTGTCAAGAGCGGAAGTAGCTTCATCGAGTAGGAGAATCTTTGGGTCGCTGACCATAGCTCTCGCAATGGCAATACGTTGCTTTTGACCTCCAGAAAGTAAACTAGCTCTTTCACCAACATTTGTCTCGTATCCTTCAGGCAAAGCACTAACAAAGTCATGTGCATTGGCCATCTTGGAAGCTTCAATAACCAATTCTCTTTGACGTTCTTCGTTCTCATGTTCAAACTTGGTTCCGATAAGTCCATGTCGAATGTTTTCAAAGATACTGGTTCCAAATAATGTAGGTTCTTGGCTGACCAAGGAAATCTGTTGTCGCAACCATCGCAAATTCAAGGTACTAACATCATGTCCGTCAATTAAAACCTGGCCACCAACGGGATCGTAGAATCTCTCCACCAAACCCACGATGGTACTTTTTCCAGACCCAGATGCACCGACAAGAGCTGTCATTTTACCAGCAGGGATAACCAAACTAACATCGTTCATAATGGTGACCTCAGGTCTGGAAGGATAGATGTGCTTGATGTTTCTCAGTTCGACAGTTCCCTCTACGTGATCGAGTTTGATACCTTCAGTAGAGGTTGGATCCAAGGGAGAAACACGATCGATTGTGTTGAAGATCTTTGCGGCAGCGGAAATGGCAGTAGTGAAAGCCTGGGCATTAGGAGCAACATTTCCAAAAGCAAACGCTCCAATCATGATAGACATCAAAATTGTGAGAATGTTGGAAAGAGTGATTTCTCCCTTGACGAGGAATCTGGATCCCATCCAGAAGGCTAGACCATAATTAAGATAGATGACTAAAAACATGCCTCCAACCATGATAGCTAAAGAAAACTTGGTTTTGTAGCCATACTTTTCAGCCTCAGCAAGATGTTTGTCATATTGACGTGCGAGTTTGTCTTGGGTACCAAAGGCGTGGCATTTTCTGATGGATGAAATGACTTCTTCTGCGATAGATCCTCCGGTCGCATAGGACCCGAGAGATTGTTTGCTGTACTTGACGATCCACCTGGAGCCTCCTCCCATGATAACGGTGATGGCTGCAACGGTGGATGTGAGAATAAGAGTCAATTTCCATGATTTGATGAAACCAATGACGAAAGCAGTGAAAAATGTAGCCAAGGCATTGATCGTCAAGCCAACCTTTTCGGAAATACCATCTTGAACCAAATTGGTATCAGCGGTGATTCTTGTGGTAATCTCGCCGCTTCCTAATTTATCGTAGAAACCAATGTTCATGCGCAAGCAAGCCGCCAGGTATTGCGCTCTGATCTTTCCACTGATGTGTTCTCCAACGTAGATGAAACCGACTGTCGAAATGTAGATGGTGGTGAACTCGGCGATAGCTAGGTAGATAAAGTAGAGAACCATATGGTTAATGGTGTGATCGAAATCCGCTCTCGTAGATTGACCTGCAAAGTAATCTGCAAAGGTTCCCGCCAATTGACCGAAGATAACCGTCATCAAAGGTAATGCAGCACCCGCCGCGATACTGCAGATGGCGCTGATACTCATGATAATGATATCATTTGTAGTCGAGAAGCGATAAAGATTTCCCACACCCGAGGATAATTCTGGCAATTCGACTTGACGTTTCAGTATTGCCGCCTCGTGAGGAGGTAGATGTGCGTAAATATCCTCATCCTTGTTGGCTGCAACCTTGATAATGTTTGTATCTAATTTTGAGAGATCATTTTCTTCCGCTGGCAAGACCTTTTCTCCTCCCCCAACCTTTTGATTGTGTGTGGAATCGCGTTCAGATATGGATGAGCCTTCATTACTGGATGACAGACTCCCCGACCCCGCGGTCTGGGGTTTCTCTGACAATTCGCCAGCCATGATTGGCGGCTTGGATAACGATTATGGATTCGTAGAAGTCGACAGTCTTTGCAAACGAATCGATGGGGAATATGTTGAAGTTGTGTATATATGTAATCTGGAGGGACTGTATGCGACCCTATAAGTTTATTGTAATTCTTCTTCTTTCATGTGTCGACGATGGAGAAAGCTTCAATCAATAAATAGACTGTTGTCGAAGTTTCCGAGGTGTTTGCTTTGGAGGAACTTTGATGTAATTAATTAAAAGGACGAATAAGATTTTCGACGAGAGTATTATTAGAAAACACTTTGATGGGTTAGTTAGTTGAATCGATTAATAAGTACAAAATGGAAATGAAGTCGAACTTAAGGAAGAAATGTAAAGCAGACGGGATGGTTGATTGTATTATATTATATTTTATCCCCAGATGTATTTTTCTATTTAATCGATATGGAGTTTATTAGAGTAGCTAGTCTCCTAGTCCATCTGGATTATTCCATAACTTTTCCAACGGAATTGTTAGATCCCGAGGCGCGGGCGATTCAATAACCCGTTTATGGCCTGTTTATGACTAGGCCAGGTTGGTGGTGGGTGGATGGTGACTGATGACTGGGGTAATAAACACCCACCTATGAGTAGGTAGGTACTAGGTAGGTACTCATCAGTTATCATCTTGGAATGACTAGGGAGAACGGGAGAAAGGGAGAAGGGAGAAAGGGAGAAAGGAGAAAGGGAGAAAGGGAGGAAGGAGGGAGAGGAGAGGAGGGGTAAGAATCTAGTCGTGTTTGAATCTGGTACTCTGGTATCTGCGAATCTACGTAAACCTTAATTGTTGGTGCTTGATTTGCTTGATTTGCTTGAATGGCCTCCATTACCTTACTTGGTTGGTACGATTCTCCAGAAAAGTCGGACATTAAAAAGGCACGACGGTGGTAGGAGAAAGTATCACTCGCAGGAAGAGAAGTATAATGCGGATACCAAAGTAGGATATATGATAGATCCTCTAATAATTGGCTCTCCATTCACAAATGCATCAATTGGGCAAATACTCTGGTTCTAATCTACTCCGAGGACGATGGGTACCTAGTATGTACGAGTACGATGAACTCTTCATCCAAGACTCGAGGATATTGTGTAGGTAAGAATAAGACATGATGCGCATTGGGAAACGTTGGAATAATACCTCTTGTCTCTTGCCTCTTGGCCTCGTACCTCTTACCTCTTACCTCTACCTTTCACATTCACCTACCCACCTCTCGACTCGAAATCAATTTATATCTTTTGTTTTGTTTCACCAATAATCAACCCAATCTTTCATAACTCTGTACAATGTCAGGTATCTGATCATCCATCTATCTATTCATATCGAATCCATTCTTCACCATGTCCTTTGAAACGCCACCGTATGCTTGCCCTTCAATATTGGAGATTACTGTATCAGTGAGTGTTTCTATCCTCGTATCCCTCGTATATCTGCATCTTGTTCCCCCTCCAGACGCAACGTAAAGATGTGATATCGATCCTCCATTTCCATTTTTGCGAACAAGGTTCTTCGGAGTGAAATGCTTAACCTTACCTACCGACCTACTCATCAATCTCGTCAACCTCTTCAGCCCACCTATCTCCTCGTGCGTGCTTAGTTAAGATTTGACTAAAAGGAGTGAGAGTCTAAGCCCAGCCAACCAATCTGAGTAAGAGGAGGAGAGAATCCGAGCCAGCCAACTCAAACATTGAGATACGGGTGCGGATGCGGCGATTGATGATCGAGTCGCTTTGAACTTGGAACCTTCGACATGAGACGATTGATGTTACTCATTATTGACTTTGGACTATCCTCATTCGTTCGGCACCTATGAACAAGTACACAATACGAATCCTCGTATGAATCCTCAATCACTCTCCAACTAATGCAGTTGATCCTGTCAAAAGGTCAAAACTTGGAACGCCCGTCTCTATGTCCGTTGTCTGTCCTTCATCCTCCGTTACCATCATTTTTATATCCGTTACTTTTATCCCGTATCTCTATCCACTGAAAATCCCGTGTCAACGCAGTCCATTCCACTTATGGCTTTTCCATGGTAACACGAACGCTCAACCACCCATTTCATGCATCTGCGGAAAGAAAACACGACATTTGACAGGATAGAAACAACGTGCATATGTTCTTAGCCTATGAGTCAAATGGTACAGATTCTCTTTCTAATTGGACAGTTCGTTGGAACTTCACATCATCATCTCGTCACCATGTCATACGAACATCAACGTCGCATTCCTTCACATCAATAACGGCATGCGACAGTTTATCCATCTATCCATCTTTTATATGCGCATAGTATTGCCCAATTCAGCAAATTTCAGTACCATCTCAGTTCAACAACTCGATTTGATCGTTCTCCATCTAATGAATGTTCGGGTCCGATATCATCAATTGATCTCACCAAACCTAGGCCAGATTTCAAACTTTTAATCAAATTCAATATCTAGATAATCTGGATACTCCAGCTAACCTAGCCCGAGGTAAACTAACCTCGTAGCGAACTCCTCTTCCAGAATACTGAGGGAGCCGATGTTAAAACAACCGCCCCTGTCTCATCTTAGTTACCCCACTCAGTAGAGCTAGAGAGGATGGAAGTTCAATTCATTGAAGCTTTTCTCCTCCCTACCGCGTATGTCTATGTCCGTTTGGTGCTTTGAGACTAGGTAGACATCGGGGGAACGGGATACGGACGTATCAAGTCCGTTTCTTGGCTTCGGACCGAATACGATTGGTGAAGGAGTGATTGTTCTTGTTCTTGTTTGAAGGACGGACCTCGGGACTACGTGTGTGTTTGGCCACCGACCAAGTTGCAAGTTTATGCACGTTACATAAAATTGTGATCGAGGTGGAGTGAACTTGGAATGCTTGAAGAGTGGACGGAGATGTCAAGGTAGCTGGAGGTAAGATTCATTCTAGAAGGCGTGAGGAAGATTCTCTGTCTCGTCTCTCTCCTATTTTTATAAAAACACTCTCGTTCCACAACTACGAGTACGAATCCGAAGTACGCAAGATCAAATGCTTGTGCTGATCATCTAATTGTTGCCCAGTGTTCATCAACCTTCTGTACAAATCTTGTTACATAAAGATCTTCTAGATTTGAGATCTTGCTTTGCTTCATTCATATGGTGTTGTCAAGAAAGAATCATCTAATTTTGATTTGGGAAATCCTTTCCTGTTGAATCATCCATCTGAGATATCAACCAATTCGTCTAGATGGTCTTCAATCTTTAGAATAAGAAATAAGTGCATGCATTATTAATTAATACACCGTCAAGTATACCCGAGGGAGGGACTCTGATCGATTATCATGCGTAGGTAACTTCACGCTTGAAGTATTGGACTGACAATATGTATCTGGTACGTCAGTATTGCAGGAAGTCTTGAGCTGTTTCTTTGTTTTTGTTTTTGTTTGTTTTTTAGAATTTGACACCATTGAAAATTTCAGCCGAGATCTAATATCCTTTGCACATCCAACGTGTATGATGTTGGAGTATAGGTAGGTACGACTCAAAGTATATCCTCAATCATCTGATCAACTACGCGTGAACATCTTCAAGATCTGTCTTGCAAACTCCGGTAGACTTATAGAGTAGGTATTGATTACTATCTTTCAACTTGAGAGTTAGAGTCATGGTTGAATCGAACGATATACTGTCCTGTAATTACACTTCATTGAACCGCTATAATTTAGAAGAAGAGCAATATACTTTTCTTAGCATCAAGTCATAGAAAACGATCAGTCAAATATTATGAGGATATACGTATTTCGATTTGGTGGTTGCGGGAGGGTTGAGCAATTGATATTATCTTGATACACATATCGGACTGCATCTAGATCCGTCTATTTTTATACTACGAATATTAGGTATGAACAACTAAATGTACATGTTTCAGAGCGTACCGTACCAGGAAGACTTTGTAGAGAGGATTTTCGACATTTGATATACCACAAGAAATCATGTAACTTGGTACCTCTAGATATTCACGTTTCATTGATACCATATGATTCTCTGATCCAGACCCTTAATGTTGGGGAAGGGCCTTGAGGTGAAAGGGTGCATAGGTTCCTTCCCTTCAGTAGATAATAATAGTACAACAAGATAAGATTGAGTTTAGAAAGTAAATTGAAAGTATAAAGGAGTGAATTTGGATTTCAAAGTCTTTGAACACCACATTGTAGATCGCAATCTCTCATCCCATTGTGTTCAAGTAAATGTCTGAATAGTTTCATGTTTTACTGATCACCTGACCAGCCTTTGGCTCCAAGCTACCTTGTCTCTCGGGTAACCATCCAATCAACAAGCTTCATCGTCAAACGCTTCACCGCCCGACTATATTGCCATTAGCTATGGTTCACGATAACCATGAGGCTACACCAAAATCATCGCTCCCATCAAACCTACGACTAACATCTACTGTGCCGTTTGAATCACATCGCCTTGGAGCTACACACAGAACGCGCATCCGTGCACATTGTTATCGCGAAGGAGGCCTTGACTTCGAGAAATCAAAATTCAATCTCGATCCTATCGAAATGGCCGGCGGAAAGAAATCTGGAAGGACGTTGATGCGGGAAGAAGGTCTAGAGCGAACAGATAATGGATTGAAACAAACAAGTTGGCCAGAAGCCTTCCCAATTAATCAGAAGAATTATTACACGTATGCATCTCACTTTCTCGATTCTTGCCCTGCATTCTGAATTTTTCCCAATTCTTACCATTCAATCTATACCATCCACTAACTGATAATTTGTAGAGAATTCGGAAAACGCGATGATCAATTGCTTGCATCACGTCTGCAAAATGAAGCCAATCAAGAAAAACTTATCCGCGATGCCAAAAATAAAGACAGAGCTCTTGCGCGCACAGGAACTGCCGATGTACCACTACCCATGGATGAAGATGAAGAAGATACAGATGTTACCGATGAGTTAGCTGCGTCGAAGATTATCGTCATCCACCCTGGCAGTCAAAATTTGCGCATTGGTTTGGCCAATGATGCTCTCCCAAAGACCGTCATAATGGCAATCGCAGAAAGGTTTCCGGTGACAGAATCGCAAGAATACGAACCTCGACCCAAACGCCAGGATTTTGAACTTCCACCAGAGCAGCAATTTGGAGAGGAGTGGTCGAAGAAATATAATAAACAATGTGCTGATTTGAAGGTGGATATGCGTGCAAACAGGCGCAAGGTATTGCCGAATTCGAAAGAGTTGGTTGTCAATTATAATCGCCGTATGGAACCAGAAAAAATTCCAGAACACAATGATCCACTTCGAATGGAATGGACGGATACTGCCAAAGGGACAAAGCCGACTTTCACAGGTCCCGATGCGCAACGGATAGCAGACAATTCTGACCCACCATATAGATTATTCTGGCCTATGCAACATGGATGGTTCCATGAGAATGATTACAACGTCCGTGAAGCCATGTTTGATGATTTCGAAACAATAATTGAGCAGGCTATGAGAAGAGATCTGGGTCTTGATAAAAGTAGTGAGTGGTATCAATATAGTTGTGTAATGGTGGTACCGGATCTCTACGACAAGAAATATTTGGAACAAATGCTGGATATGTGTCTTCGAGGCTTTGAGTTCAAGCAGGTCGCCTTTGTACAAGAAAGTCATGCTGCTACATTTGGAGCCGGTTATACAAGTGCTTGTGTAGTTGACGTTGGAGCACAAAAGACATCAATTTGCTGTGTAGAGGATGGTATGTGCATAGAGGATTCTCGAGTCAACCTCAAGTACGGAGGGTATGATGTTACTGAAACATTCATCAAAATGATGCTCTATGATCACTTTCCATATGCCGACATAAATCTGAAACGACGTTACGACTTTCTTCTCGCGGAGGAATTAAAGATTAAGTACTGCACTATGAATCAAGCCGAGATCTCTGTTCAGCTTTACAATTTTCATCTCCGCGCACCAAATCAGCCTACTCATAAATATGGTTTCAAAACATATGATGAGGTTATTCTCGCTCCTATGGGCTTTTACGATCCTTCAATCTTTGATAATAGTGACAAATTGAACGGTCGTCGCAAGCTCTTGGATCGATCGTACAATGCTTATGATATCGACACACCCGATGACCCTACATCTTCAGTCAGCTTGCATTCTGGCCGCGATCAAACCTTCTATCGCAACTAATGCAAATGGATATAATCCGAAACAATTTCAATCTAATGGGATGGCCGATGTGTCCTTCTCTACACCTCAAAAAGAGAAGCCCAACCCGTTTAACCTACTTCGTCTAGATCCAGATAATGCAGTACATTCCAGCGTTACCTCCGCTGCAGCTTCGCCCGCTCCTGAGGGTGCAAGCACGCCAGCTCCAGCTCCGTTTGTTTTTGGAAACAATGGGCATACAGCCGGTTCCCCTGGTCCTACTAATGGAACCAATGGTACTCATAGTGGTACGACACCCATACCCCCCGCAGGTATGTTTGTCGATGTTCACGCCCGCACAGCCAAAGATCTCGCCATTGAACGTGATTCCGTCCTCCCTATCTCTGCTTTAGGACACAGCATCATCACATCCATCACCCACGCTGCTAAACATGATGATAAAAAAGCGCGAGATTTTTATGGTGGCATTATGTTAATAGGCGTGGTGCGAAACACCGGGCTTTGGACCCTTTCTCGAAGATCGACTTCAGAAAAAGAGACCAGATTTGGCGGAGAGAATCTTGGTAGGGACGAGTCCGAGGGAAATGGATGGGCAAGTGGTGGTTTGGAAGGGCGCGAGTGTGTTTGCGAGAATGAAAATGCATGAGAGTTGGATTGGGCAGAAGGAATTTGAATGCTGGGGCGAGGGTTTTGAGTCAGAAAATTCTGTGGCATTATTGAGGGTTCTGATTGGGTTGGAATGGTGGAAATGGGATGCATGAATGGGTGGATGGAGTCTTGAGTGGAATTTAATTGGGTAGAGAGTGATGGAATGGAATGGAATGAAAAAGAAAGAGATGAGATGAGATGATATGAGATGAGGTATTAGGGATATCTTGAATTTATGGTATGATTAGATAATGGATGGATGGGTGGATGGATGGATGGATGAGCATGGCGTTTCATGGTAGATAAATTATCTAGGTAGGCGTTGATGGGGTGGTAAAATCTTATTTCATATGGGATGTATGGATGGATTGATGGATGGCTGGCTGGATGGATGGATAGGAGTTTTTTAAAAGAGAAGATAAAATGAGATATGATATGATATCCTGAAAACTTTCTAGAGAATTCAATTTTTTTATGGATTTATTGAATGGTGTTTGTTATTTATGATGAGTATTTATGATGGGTATCTATGATGGGTATCTATGACGGGTATCTATGTAATGGTGAAAGAAATTCTGGATTGTGATTGGTGAGATGGGTTGGGATGGGTTGGGATGGGTTGGGATGGGTTTGAAATAGGATGAGATGAAATGAGATGGGATAGAATGAAATAAAATGAAATAAATGGAATGGGATGAGATGAGATGAGATGGGTTGAAATGAATTAAGATTAGTTAGTAGAATTGGTTATCTTTTTTATGGAGTATGGATGTATATGTATATATATATATATATCTTGAGTATTTATGGTGTTTGGTGTTTGAGGATTTGAGGGATTGAGGGATTGAGGGATTGAGGATTGAGGGTTTTGATTTGTATATGTAAATAGGTAAATAGATGGATAGATAATGGATGAGTGGATGAATAGATAATGAATGAATGAATAGGTAAATGGAGGATGAATAGATGGATGGATGAATATGTGAATAGATGTGTGAATGGATGTGTGGATGGATGTGTGGTTGGATGATTAGATGATTAGATGAATAGATGGATGAGGGATTGAGGGATTGAGGGATTGAGGGATTGATTGTATGTGTGAATAGATATGTGGATAGATGAATATAATGTGATGAGATGTAATGTGATGCGATGCGATGTGAGAGAGTGAGTATATATATAAAGTAAGTAATGAAAGTAAGTAATGAAAGCAAGTAATGAAAGTAAGGAATGAATGGAGAGGAAACAGGAGAGGAAAACAGGAGAGGAAACAGGAGAGGAAACAGGAGAGGAAATAGGAGAGGAATATGACTATAACGATCTCGATTGCTTGAAATTGGGATATTTGGGGGTTTGTATGGGGGCTTGTTTGGGGCCTTGTTTGGGGCTTGTTTGATAAAGGGGGGAGGAGGAAGGGGAGGCGAAGGGGGATTGGAGATAAGGGGGAAAGGGGGAAAGGGGGAGGGTGAGAGGGTGCGAGGGTGAGAGGGTGAGAGGGTGGTGTAGGTGTAGATTTTTGAATGTGGGTTTTGTGGACTTGGGGCGGGGGGAACTGGGAATGTGGTTGGGGTTGGGGTTGGGGTTAGGTTTATGGGATTCGTTGTATAGGTTTTAGGGGGGGGGGGGGGATTTCTGAGTGTGGGTGGTATGTAGGAGAAGGGGAAGGGGGAGGGGGGAGAAGTTTGGGTTTTGGAAGGGTGGTTTCAAGATGGTGGGTTGGATGAAGTTGATGTGTGGTGTACGCTTATGAATGAAAGGTGGATAGGTGGTTTTGCTTTTAGTTTTGTTTTTGGGAGACGATTGGATGGATAGATGGATAGATGGGAGATCAGTAGATGATTAGGATTTTGGTTGCTGAGGGGTCGGAAATTCTGGAATGGAAGTATAGGAGCGTCTTAAGAGGAGTGAGTGTCTTTGAAGGAGGCGGGAGGTCTTAGAGAGGGGAGCCGGGAGTGGATCATATATTGAGTGAATTGAATGGGAGGTGTGAATCAGAGAGATGTGAATGGATAGATGGGAGTTACTTGGTTGATCGCCTATTTTGTGTTTGTGTAGAGCGGGAAAGTGTGTGGGGAATATGAGGATTGGTAGAGAGTTGTGGGGTAGAGATAGGAAGAGATTACGCGTGTGAATGGGATGGAAGGGATGGTGGTTGAGTTTGGTTCAAGTTTGAGGGCTGTGGGTTGTGGGTTGTGGGTTGTGAGAGGAGGGAGGGGTGGAAGGGACGAGAAGAGGTTTGTGGAGGAGTTTTGGTGGGTTCGATTTGAGAGGTAATGTGATGTGATGTGATGTGATGCGGTGTGATAGTGGTAGATATGATACGTATACCATCGATAAACGGAGTATCCTGAGTTCTGTGATGTCGTGGGTGGACAGGACGAGGAGGATTTGTTTTCTTTTCTTGCTGTTCTCGGAGATGATCATTAGAATTTCAGATTGTTGATCCAACGATGTTTTCAATGTCTCTCGATCTTCGAATCTAGACGAGTTCCTCATCGTTTGCATCTATTGCTTCCTTGTGTATCCTTAAGTCTCCTCTTATTTAACGGTTTCTTCTTGAAGATGATATCAAAATTCCTGATCTTGAAAAATCGCTTGTATGAAAAAGTGACGGGGTTGATCTCATGTATACTAGACTACATTATATCTCCACCGAAGTACCAAGTGATTAGATAGTAGCCATCTAGATATTATCCCAAACGTGCATGCACATCATTGTTAGCACGAAGAGAAGGGTCTCAGAACTCTAGAAAAGCTAATCACGACGTCGAGTTAAATTCATGGGTGATGCATCATGTACGAGATTCAATTTCTGGAGTTAAGGATAATTCTACAACGGAAGGATTGGAAGAATAAGATTTATGGTAGATGGATTGTCGAAATTTCTTCTGTTCTGTGATTCTCGTAGAGATCAATGAATTACGTATATATAGTCCTAGAGCTCCCAATTTCAATGTCATAGATAGAGCATCGATATACGCCAGAATGAAAGATATACATGAAACGAGCCTCCCAAGAAAAGACCAAAGAGTAATGAAACAGCTGATTCATCATATAAACGCACTCTCAGCTTTCCTATTACCAGTAATATATCCCATGTTCTATTCCATATCTAACAATCTCGCCATCAAATTGGCTTCTCTACTACCCTACCCGTACAACCCCCAGTTTCAATATTCCCGACTACTAATTTTCATTTGTTGCATATCTGAATATCTTGGCATTGATTTAGCTCCTGTGATATTTTTGGTTAGTGGCTTTAACTTTTCATACTGTTGGATGTCTAATAGTCTTGGCATTCGATTTAGCTTTTGTATCATTACACAATTGACCAATACCATGCCTTCAGTCTCGGTATCCCGAGTAAATATGTCATTGAGTTTGTTTTTATTGTCGTTACTTTTTATATTATAGTGTATATAACAAACGCGGAAGTTATTCTCTGCTTCAGTATTGTAGTTTTTGGACCTAGTCATATTTATTTCGCATGTCATGTTTCCGGCTGACAATTATCAGGATTTGAAAAGAAGGTTATGCGATGCAAAATGAGAGCAGTAGATTGTTAGTAATTACTTCATATTATCCTTCCGTTGAGTGTTAGTGCTACACGTCATTATAGAGATCTGATAAAAATTTGTTGTTGTAGATTTAAGCTTTCGTTTGGATCTGTAGTTTGCGGCTAGTGATACTAATTAGACCTTGATCGGCCCTTGCTGCCTTCAGATGGTGAGCTAAAATGGAGGACTATACCTTATTTCTAGCGTTTTTACTATGTTTGACAGGTGTAGGGTTTTGTGGTTCATTTGTTTCCTGGCATGACTGTTAGAAATACTGTAGATTACCTATGACTACGCTTAACTTATATGTATGGAGTCTATATTGTAAACTCTATAATATCGCAGTGAGAAGAACTGTGGAAGTAGAATGGGCTGCAATGTTGGGGTATGTCTATTCATTCCGACATATCAACCTAGTTCAATTCCTGAGCATGAGATATATGAGCCTCTCTTCTTCATCGTTGATCTGAAGATCGATTCAGTGCATATTGTTTGATCATGAAGATGTAAACAGGTCTAGAGTTTGATCTAAGTGATATGCGTTGTGCTACTTTATCTTAGCCTTATGGTGGATGTTTATTTTTTAGCTTGTCGGGTAGCTTTATTGACATGTTCATATAAGCTTTCCTTATGTGTAGGTATACATAGCTGCCTTCCCAAAATGTTTGTACCGGGTATACAAGATTGAACAGCCGGAGAAGGAATCATATCTTCTTGTGTGTAAATAAGATGTTAATATGATATTGTATTTGAGGCGCGTGAATTACCTATGTAGAGATGATGCGTTGTTAGGAACGAAATATGGTTATGGCCATTAGCATAATTAGAAATAATCAGTACGATGATCAATATTTAGTTCATAAGTTCACATAGAAGAATCGAGAGACTATCATCTGAACTTACCATATATAATTTGGTTGCTAGGCATAGATCTGGTGGTTGCCATGAGACCAAAAAAGTCCTCGTCGGTGCCAAATTCAAAAAATCCTTTAGTGATGTCAACAACATTAACACCAACCAACTAGCAGATCACTCGATTATAGCGTTGTTTGTCTTTCGTATCCTTCATACTCACGTCGCTGTTCTCTCTTCTTTCCCTTCTTCTCTTTCTTCTTTCCTCTCCATCGTATGCGCTTTTGATTACTTTGATTTTCTCAATCTAATTATTTTACTGCATACACTGACTTCTTACTGCTTTTATCTTTGAGCTACCAACTCATCGATACCCATCTATTTACCAACCTCTTACCTCTTACCTCTTACCTCACTTTCTACTTATCTACGTCGGCGTGCCGATTTTTGTTCTAACATCAATCGTTGCAATGTCTTTCACAGATATCCTCACCTTCGTAGGCACAGCCCTTGTGGTTGCTGTCTGCTTTTACATCATCAACAACCCAGTTGATATCGAGGCTGCACCTGTTGCCATCCAGGTTGCCCCTCTTCTACCTATTATCAGCTGCCCAGTTGTTATCGAGGCTGCACCTGTTGTCATCCAGGCTGCCCCTCTTCTACCTAAAATCAAGGTGCTTCCAGAGCCCCAAGTAGCCCAACTCGTTGCTTCTCCTTCTGTAAAGAAGAGAAACAGAGTTGAAGAGTTTGTCGGCTCCTCCGTGGTTGCACCTTCTTCTCCAGAGAATAAGAGAAAGACTTTTGTTAGATTGTCTTCTCTTTCTGCCTCGGAGAAAAGACCAACTTATAGAAAACCTTCTCGTCAATCACCCAAGGTTACTATTAGTTTGGCTTCTGTTGCTGGCGCGCAACTTCTCGAAGCCATCCAATCTGCCATCCCTCCCCCGGTTGATATTGTTCCAACTGAAGTTGCGTCGGCATATGCCGAAATCTCTGAAGTTGTTTCAATGGAAATCGAGATGTCAGATGCCCCAATGGTCTCTCAGCTGAAGTCCTGCTTCAAGAGCTCCTCTAATCGCTTTGCGAAAAGAGTTCGCTTTGCAGGACCAAGCAAACAATTGTATCCGTGGTCAGATTGCCACTTACGTGGTTAAGAAGGACATGGTATGCTTTCGTGAGAGCAATGCAGGGGCTAGGTCAATGCCCATGAGAGCTTTCCTCTTATTGAGGAGATGGATCGGCAAGGCAACCCTACTGGATGGTTTACTAAACGGGATAGTTTTTTCTATCCCCCAGAAGAACAGAGTAGATTTGATCGCTGCAAAGAGCACACACTGTGTAGACAGTGCAGAGAAAGTGTGATTGAAGGATTTTGCGATCCTGAAGTCGATTTCTCTGATGATGTGCTCGAGTCAGATGATCCAGATGCTCTAGTTCATCATGTCCAAAGGGACCAATATAGTCGATACAACTGCATCCTTCATGGTGGGAATTGATGCACTGTATCTTCTATTAACTACTAACCTGTGACCTGACCTTGGCCTCTCCTGGAATACCCGGACTTCAGGTTAGTATTCTTTTCTTTTGTTTCAACCAAAACAGATGTGCCTAATAAGCCATCGCCAAAAAAATATTAAAATAAAGGCCTTGTTGGAATGGATTTTTGGATTGGTAACCCAATTATCTATCCTTCAAGGTATCACAAAACAATCACCAAAAAAGCGAACATCGCATCTTGTATATATTTATTTCCTTTGTCATTATTTGGGGGATATGGGGGATGGGGGAGTTTTTCTTTTGATGGGATTGGAAATCCCATCTTGCCTTACTTTTGCTCGTTAATTGTTTACAGATTAGAGACATACGAGCTGTGGTCGCTCGAATTTAGATCATAACCTTCGGAATGAATGGTTAGTTTTCACTCCATCCTCTTTTCACATCCAAGACAGTTGCTAATCACTTTGAAGTATCCCCAACGCGAACCCACGAACCATCGACGATTCCCCGATCCCAACGACTACGACGATCGACGACGATTGACTACGGCTACACCACCATATTCCAGGAAAGGTTTCAGGTCACAGGTTAGATTATTATATTATCATTTTAAATGATTCACATCACACCACATCTTTAATTCTCTCACACACCACTTCGTTGGCCAAGGAAGAATGCGCCCTCTGCTGCTCTCGAGACGACAAGCAGAGATTCTTTCTTGATCAACATTCGCCCACACCAACTTCACCAATTTGTTGTTCTACAACATCTTGAATTCGCCCTCTCATCCACTTCGAACTTGCACATAATGGAGAATCTTTTAGGATCTCCAATGCATTCGATGGATTTATACTGTGCCCGTCCAGTTACTCGACGGGATTATTTTGACACACTTGACTCTTGTGGGAACGCTTGTCGAACACTTTCACTTCGGTGATCTGTTCACGCTATACCCCTCGGTCTTGTGCTGTCCTGCTTTTCACTTCTTTTAGGAGGTGATTTGGCGATATATCCTTGGTTTGGTTGGGTTCAGGACAGTCTCATTGGAAGCTCACTCGATGGGGCTTCATGAGAGCTCGTCAGGGGAGGAAAAATGGTTCAATTCGATAAGTATATCCACCCGTTTAACTTCTAATTTGTCTATAGGGCGGCTAGCTTTGATCACACGTCCTCGTTCGTGCTAGCTGGGTACCCTCAAATGAGGAGCTAAGTGATCTAATCGATACGTTGAACTTTCGACATCTATTTTAACCAGAGTAAGTGCAGGCTCTTTTTTCATGCTGGATATATTGCTGATTTCTTGACAGACGATTTGGGTTCACGTCTGATGGAAATGTATAGCTTTAAATTTTAAGAAGGATGTGCATATTTGAGATGGAGTGATAGTGAAGAATCCAGCTTTGCAATATTGTGGTGTATTTATCAGTAGCAAAACGAATGTAAATTATCTCATCTATTCCTAACATATGACATCGCTCAACATCTTCCCATGATTCTGAACAAACACACTTTGGATACAACGCTCTCTTACGCCGATTAATTAACCAGAGATCTAGAGCTGGTAGGTTCTAGATCGGTGAAGTGTAGGTGGTATGAATACCCATATCTGATAATAAAAAGCGGCTTTTCAGATGGTAGAAGATAATATCTAAAGTCAACAGAAGGATACAAAAAGCACCGGAAAGCGCCAAATTGACATGCAAAGTAGGTACTTGGAATGGGTATTCAATTATATCTCGTGCTTCTTGAAGGAGGGAAGTAGTCTGAAATGCCCTTTCCCAGAATTTTTGCATTGGGGTAAATAGGAGGAGATATGGACAGGGACAACTAACCGTACTTGCTCTTTCTGTATCCCGACAGTAAGAGACATTAACTCTATCACAACTATAGCACGCCTCTTGAACACGATAAAACAAAAAATGCAATGGTAATTACATAATTATTCTAAGTAAATACCTGGTCCCTTCATAATAATAGATCTAATCTTCTCCATAGTTTTCGCACTCCCATTTTCATTCTGCATTTCACAATTCTTGGACTTTCTTATGTGGAGCTTCCGCTCTTTTATTCTTATTGACGAGTTACCGGTAGAAGAACCTATTACATCTTTCGAGCTGAAAGTACTTGCGAGTATTGGCATTGCAATTTTAGTTTTGAGTTAGAGCTTCATCCTCGTGATGAAAGTTATGGTATCTGAGGGCGATATTGGTTTGTGAGATTTTATTATCACTAAACAAGACGGATGAACGATTGAAAGATGAATTCTGGCGATATGAATCGAGTACTGCTCGATGACCGAATGTCTCCGAATGATGAAGCTCCGCTAGGTAGTCAAACCCGCGACGATGACAGACAGAATGAACGAGGCCCCTCGATCGCTAAACAATAGGAAGATCTCGAAATCCAGAAAGCGGAAATTAAGAAACTACAAGAAGATCATAAAAAACAAGTCCAAGAATTCGAAGAGGCAAAATTCGAGCTTGAAGACAAGGTAATGAATGGAACACAAGGGAAATACACCAGATCGTAACTAACACCTCCGCAAGCTACGAACGTTCAGGAAGATGGAAGGGGAGAACGAGAGAAAGCTAGGCGTACTCAGAGCCGAGCAATATAAATTCAACACTACGGTCAGGGAGTTAAACATGAGTTTAGAGAGAGCCAGAGAGGCGACAAAACGTTTTAATAAGAAGAGTGAGACGTTGGATTGGAAGTTCAAGGCAGCCAATAATAGGGAACAATATTTCCTTAGAGAATACAGATACAAGCAGAGATATTTTGCGGAGAGAGAACAGAGGATTGATGCGAAGGTAAGCATTGTTGACTCTCGTCAATAGCAAAATACCACTCCGTTGTGTCCTTTTGATCTCACTCTTTGGCTTTTTTTGAATGTTGGAACAAGCTTTCTGTTTTTTATGTTGAGCCATTGCAGGAACATCATGGTGTTGAATTTTCAGATCATCTCTCATAGTAAATTACTTACACCCATCACTACAGCTCAAACGCCTTGGAATAGAGGAGAAGTTCTTTAATCCAGAAAAAGAATCATCTCAATATTTGGAAAGTATTCTTTCAGAAATGCAGGAGGAAGAGAGGAATTGGGAGGCTTTATAACAGCGGGAATAGATGATCTGGTCTCGAGAGACGGCTGGAAGATCTGGACAAGCAATTTTAGCGATGAAAGGAATTCATAGAATTGTCTCAAGATAGGTTCATGATAGGAATAGCATGATGAGATAGCGGTTTTTCCAAGTTTCAGGAAGTAATGCAACGATGAGAGATGATTAGATTTTCAACCTGTGACTGCAGATTGATGGCATTCCGAAATTCTAAAATCTGGCAGCGAGAAATCTGATGATAGAGAATTTGTGTCGACGGTGATGCATACTATTCTATCACGGATTGTTCTCTCAAGGTCGCGAAAAAGAACCGTACACTGACACTCAATATCCCCAACCTGAGTGAACCCCTTCAGCAGTAAATGCTTCAAGTGAAAAGTCATCGTAGACTGTAAGTGGATTCATCGAATACTTATTGATTCTTACGAATTCTTGCGCATCTCCATTCTCTATGATCTACCCAGAATACCCAATCTCGGCTTTGATAAACTATCCGATAGTAGTTTGCCACATGCATCGAGGAGCTACGGCATCATCTATTTAATCGGTTGCTACCCCCTCATTCTTTCCCAAAACAAGAATAGATGAAGGAAGCTATAGCACCCACAATCATAGTATCTTCTCCAAGATCTGTTCGCGGGTGAAATTCGTGTTCAAATATCTCGAAACATAATCATCACGATTAACTGTGTCTTGTTAGTATCTTTGATTACACAAGAAAGAATGTATTTTAAAGAAATTCAACTCACTGTATCCACCACATATACGTCTTTTACCCGTAAATTCCGATCTTCCATGAAGAACTCTCCAATTATCGAAAACTGGTGCTTGAGTGTCAGCCATCGGGAACTTCGTCATTTGATACTTGATTTACTCACTCAAGGCCCGCCCAGGTACAAGCTGGGACCAATACTGTAGCTTCGGGTCATTAACCCGATCATTATATGCTTTTGCCGCTTCGTACCACTCCTGGGAGTATCCAGGATGAATCGTACCTCTATCTGCCTCATTCCATCTAATTTGCGTTGCAGCACGATTTGTATTCATAGTAAGGACAGGGTATGGTCTATTTGGAGTGATATTGATACCATCGTTACCACTAGCATGCCAGGGGACTGCTATCTTAGATAAAGCATCTTTGTGGCGAGTGCGAAGTAAGCGAGCGGCCCAGAAGCCGTCTACGAGGAGAGATTCACCGCCAGTACCTTCGGCATGAGAAAGGAGATGGAACATCTGAAGGCCGGCAGGATCAGTGAAGTAAGTTGTATCGGTATGAGGACCAATGGCTTCACTGGTGTATGCGGTGTCTTTCATTGTTAGATCGGATGTGAAGTCGTAGAATCCACCTAAAGGCGTTAGCTAACTTGCGATGATAATATATACTACAGTGGGTAGGTTTTACCATAATGTGTTGGCCGAATAAAGGCAATGCATTCCAGAAGCTTCTGAGTCTTTTCAGGGGATACTGGAACCCCGTCTACGAAACAGAAGCCATAGTTGTGCTGGGTATAATTAGTAACGTATTACATATAGGCTTGGAGTAATTTGAGAATATACAATCATGCGTGTCCACTTTCCTACGCCAGTTTCACTTGCCATGACTTCTTCATAGTTGACAGTAGGTGGATTTTTCCCGATAAGCGAATCCCAGAGAACGACTTCATGGCTGCTACAAAAGATTTCAGAAAATTGTGACGGATGATGATTGGGATGTACTTACTCTGGATCAGGCATTGGCACTTCTGCTTCCGCTGAATTATCTCCTCCGTGAGTCGCACCAACAATTGAAGCTTTAGGAGCCTGGAATTTCTCCGCATCGCGGTAAACTTGATGTTTGTGGAGCCAGTCCCATGGGTAAACAGTAACATGATCTGACTTAACGTCATTATCCGCGCTATCCAGCCCTGTAAACCATTAGCAATAAAAAGAAATGCAAGACAAAGTGCATACATGTCACTTCAAGGCCCTCTTTCTTGGCTTTGTTGATAGAATCCGGGAGGACTTTGAGGTCAGACTAATGAGTTGTCAGACTATAACACGTAGTGGTGATTGGGATATTTACCGAGAAAATGTTTACTTCTCGCTGCATGGTATCAGGGCGTCTACACTTTGCACAACGACAATTGTCTCTAAAATATCATCAGAGTAGTTCCCAAGAAGAAAATACATTGGATGTTTAAACCAATTCTGTCATTTACCTTAGCCATCGACGCGGACTGCAAATATGTCAGCGCTCAAAACCAGGAACAAACTTGAATGAGTGAACCTACACCGAATCCGGACCTTCAGCAAAATTGATTGGCATGAATGCTCCATTATCGAGCAAACGAAGATTCTCTCGATAACCTTTTCCTAATTTTGGATGAACAATCTCTTCTCCAAGATCAGCGGCCGAGTTTATCAACTCTTGGTTTGCCTTTTCCTGTGCAGAAAGTTCAATATTGAGAAGAGGCCGTATGAAGGCTGGAGGCCGAGTTTTCTTTCGCAAGGGTACAGGTGGGCCATGGGAGGCATCGAAAACAAACTGGCCATTGGAACGTTTATATGAAGAGTATGCATTGTCTTGAACTCCAGGCGAGCTCGGAGTAGTATGTTGAATATCTAAACCCTTTGTCCGCGTGTTGCTGTCTTCATCTTTTGTCGATAAAGTGGGATCGTGACTTATCTTAGGTCCACTACTGTAACAGCGACGAGAAGCCAAAGGACTGACTCGTTGGACCCGAATGATGGAGCGATACATGTTGGCAAGGTCTTCAGTTGTTTTGTATCATGATCGATTCACGAAAGATCATTATCAAAATGGATCTCTTTCAAGCTTTCATCTTGTCATCTACCTTGAATGTGTTCCGGTGCCCACCATTGCCTCGGCTCGGATTGCCGTGTGATAGGAATATGATACATGATGAGTATCGGAGTCGACATTTCACATTTGGATATTGATCTTTTGATGGACAGCAGTAGAAGTATTGTTAAACTCTTCTACATCTAAGCTATTTTAATAAATAAACTGTAGTCAATAATTCCTGCAAGCATTTCAAAAGATGCACAACGTTTAGCCAGCCAATCAACGGAATAAAGTATTTCCAGTACCCCTGCACCAAGCTCCCACCTCATAAATAATAGACATGAATGAACTCCGAGCTCCTTCCTATCAATAACCTCACAATTCAACCATGCGCCATAACCACTCTTACTAATTTTCACAAAAATTCACCATGTCTACCGAAGACGCCCGCTATCGTACTTCCACTCAATATCGTCATTGGTCATACACACCGTCCGCACTCCGTTCCTTGCGCGAAAGCACAAATGCCCTAGCCGCAACCCAAGTTCGAGATGCCGTTCGACGCGCCAGAGAAGCTCGTGCTGCATCCTCAAATGACAATAGTGAAGCAGAGAATAGCAGATCTGCTAGTACTGCCCTACCGGATGGAGATGTGGATTGTTTGACGGTAGACGAGGAATTGAAGTTACTGGATTATTATTGTAGACAAACGCTACAGCTAGGGGATCATTTGGGTGTGCCGATTGAGGTCAAGGTATGTTCTTCTCGTGCGGAGATTCTTTAGTTCTAGTCGACCGGCCACTTTTCGACATGAAATGCTGGTGCATGTCTGGTGAACCGCAATATGCGCAACTTGTCTTTGCTCAAAATATATCCTAACATCTCTTTGCACTCTAGGCCACAGCGATTCAATATATCCGCCGCTTCTACATAAGCCACAGCCTGATGACCTACACCCCCACGACCATTCTAAAAACTGCCCTCTTCTTCGCCACCAAAACCGAAAACCACTATTTCCGCATCACCAGATTCGCAAGCGACATAGGCAAAACCACCACCGAAGAGATTCTCTCCTCAGAATTCCTTCTAACCCAAGGTCTCCGTTTCCAATTCGACATCCGCCACCCCTACCGCGGTCTCGAAGGAGCCATCATGGAACTCCTCGCCATCTCCACCCACAAAATATCCATCCCCGCAGAACTCGAATCCCAACGCCCCGAAAACATGCACAACTTAATACTGGAAAGCCACGGACACGCACGCCATTACCTGAAAACAAGCGCGCTATTATGCGATTCCTATTTTCACTATACGCCTTCACAAATAATGTTCGCATCCCTCTATCTCGCTTCCGCCCCTTTAACCACCTTCTACCTCGCTTTGAAATCCTATAATCCCTCGAATCCAGATACAAACACCGCAACATCTACCTACCAAAAACTTCTCACCCTAATCAAAAACCTCGCTCAAACACTCTCCTCAATCCCCGAGGAACAAACTCCCGAACAAAGACAAGAAATCCAAGCCCTTGTTAAGAAATTAAAGAAATGTAGAAATCCCGAAAAGGCAGATCTAGTCGGACTACAAAAAATGAAAAGGGAAGGCGTAGAAGGCAAAGATGGAGAAGATGAAGAGAAGATTATCAAGAAGAGAAAGATGGAGCGGGAGCAGAGGTTAAAAGAAGAGCAAGATTTGTTTGGCGGGAGTTTGAAATGATCGTTTGTGAATGCGGAATTACTATAATAGGTTAGGTGTAAATACAAATCTAGCGGGATTGGCGTTATCCGAGCTGGTCACAACGGGAAGGGTTGGTGCATATGGAAGAGGGGCGTTCGTTGGAAAATTTAGTGCTACATGGTATCATCTGCCCAGAAGGTCATATTTAGGATGATTTGTGCTAGGATCAAGTTCAAGGAACAACATCATGATAATATTGAAAAGAAAATTTTCATTCATTCGTCCATTTTGTTAAAAAGTATCTTCTCTAGCTATTGATTTCCACCCGGGAATCCTTTCGTGCATGTCCATTCCGTCCGCTATGATAAAAGCAGTTCATATCTGATATTGTGTTCGCAAATAATAAGTAAGTAACATCCCATTCTCCATCCAGCTCCATCAAATAAAGGAAAATAAAAGTAAATAAAAGGAGGAAAAATGATAACGATACTTCGCAAGATAGATAAATAATAAGAAAAAGATGTGGCGGCTCTTGTTCGCGTTGGAATATTCACAGGATGAAAATACCAGCTCGCACGAGTGACTTTCAACCATCAGAATACCTCCGCAATCCGAAGCAAGCTCATCGTCCTTTTCGACCCTCTCACTCATTCCGATAATTTGCTCCGTCCCCAATTTTAGCCCTAATCCTCAATGATAACTACTTGTGCTTCAGCCCAGGGCAACTCATGCTCATGGACTTTGGTGCAAGTGAGATATTCGATTTCACCAGCATTTCCGCCGGTATCACCCATTAACTCATTGACCACCAAATCACTGACCTTCTTCGCGGCACTCTCTTTTAAAATATTCAATTGCAGCTCAACCTGGTCCTTCTCCCAATGTCCCCACTCTCTGGCTTCTGAGCCGGCTCTGAATGGTTCAACCATTGCCATAACATCGTCGATCTTGAGATACGCATCACCGCCTTGAGCAATTAGCTTATACATGTTCTTTTCCACATTTCGGTGCTCATGGCGTTGAACCAACGTGCAATGGTGTAATTGTTGAGAGAACCAATCGTGCCAGATTTGAACAATAACCCAAATATCAAAGGTCGACCGGTCCAAATTATTGATGCTGACTCTTACTTTGTCTTTGACGATACAGCTCTGAAAGAGTGGGCCATTGGCTTCGAATCTCATGCCTTGGAGATCTTCGAATTTCTTTCGAATGACCCTGCCAAGATCGTGGCCCATCCGATCCTCCTTAGTGAGCCATGACCAGGAGGGGTATTGTCCTACGATATGGATGAGGGCTTCCTTGAAGATAGGAGAGCATTGAAGCTTGTATGCCAAAAGCAGGAAATGAGGAGGGTTGCGACGAATGGATGCGTATAGGCTACGTCCTAGGGAAAGGAGAGATGCAACTATGTAAGGTCTAACAACTTTCGCTGAGTCATAGAGATTGGCGATTTTGATCAGCAACATGGACTGTGATGCGGCAATTGCAGCATTTGTTGTAGAAATCGTGGGGGCACAACCAAAGTAACACAGGAAAAGGGAACGATAAGCATCGAGGATTTTTTGCTCAACTTTCAGAGGGGCTAGCTTTTGGAATGTTACATTGTTGATTGGCTTTTCTGCGGTGGGAATGTCTGTCTGTTCAACAACATAATTGCTAGACGGTTCTTTGACAATTGGATCAATCTTAGATTGCTGCTTCGAAAGCGAAATTGTAGCTTGCTGTGCTTCCTCGATTTTTATCTCAGGTCCCATTGGATTTTCTATGGAGATAGCAACCTGAAGTTGTTCTTCGGGTGAGATTTGGCAACCTGGTGGCACTTTAATTTTCTGTAATTCGGTGCTTGATTGCCCATCAATCTTTTCTCCCACATTCGAAAGGACTTCAAGTTGTCTTCCTGGCGACTTGTGTTCTGGAAGACTTGGCGAGAGCATCTGTTCCTCGGATTCAATCTCTGCTTTGATAGCCGTATCAACTGTTGGAATGATTTGATCTGCAAGGTCAGTCTGTGGGCTCGTGTCGATCTGTGGGCTCTGAATCACTGTCTGGTCTGTCTCGGTTTCAGCTAACACCTTGGTGGGACTCGTAGGTGGTGTTGCAACTTGCTCCGTCACATTGTTCTGGGCTGGTAGATCAGGTTCGGCACTATTCGATTGAACAATGGTATCTGGTTGTAACTTGATGCCATTCTCATTTCCTTGAGATCCACTGATTGATCCTTGAGTAGATTGAAGGGCACCTGGCGACGAAAGGAAGACGGATATATCAAAATCAGGAGATACATGAGGATTACTCATTGTTTCTGCCATTTCAATATCGTCACACGAACCATCGAATTGTGGCAAAAATACAGATGATTGACGAGAGTTAGATGAACCATAGTTAGAGAAACTATAGCAGCCGTTGTAGCGATTGCTGGAATCGGGAATATCTCTATTGATAATAGCTTGAGGTTGTTGCTTGTACATTGTGAGTCCCTACAGATATTAGCTACATGTGTTCAAGTTTAGCGTAGAGGTGCATGAGTTTTAGACAGCAATGAAAATTACTTACCACCCGCTTCAACGTGTGATACCCAAGATGATCATCAAATCTAAGTTCAAATCTATATTTGATTCCAGTATCTTTGGTAATCGTAGCTGCTAACTTCTCATCCACCTCATTGACCAAGTTTTCCTGCAACTCCCCAGCGAACCAAGGAGAGACGCGTCTCAGTATATATGAGTGCATCCTGAATGAATATTCGGGATTCTTTTGAATGAGTACGATGTAAATGTCCGCATCGTGGTCTGCGAATGGCTTGAAAAGCTTTCTTAGTGGCAAATTTGCACAAGGAATGACTTCTGGGTGGGAATTGTCTTCTGACTCTGATATGTATTCAACCACATCTTTTCCTTGCTTGGCATTAGACATGGTTGATTTTGAGGCGCGAGGGTCTATTCTGAGGTTAGCGATTGAATCCCAAATGCATTGATTGACATTGTAAGGATCTGGGGTATACTTGGACGAGGTTTTTTGGATGTTTGGGATTGCTCATCATCGGAACCAATCTCGATTGGATTGTTCTTCATTGCTCTCTTTCTGCCGTTCTTGACGGGTTGAGCTTTAAAAGCATGATTGCCAGGATCATCAACCTGCATGACCTTCTCACCTCGCTGGTATTGCATACGAGGGGCCTTTGGAGGCATGATTGTAAAATTCGAATAAAGTTATCAATAAGTAGAAGGATGCAAATAATTCAAAGAAGCTAGATGGCAAATCAAAAGATAAAATGGATAGAAAGAATCGAGAGAAGTCGAGATAGATCGACGGAGGTATGGGAGGTGGAGGTTGTAGTTGAGAAGGTTGAAAGAGGGTGGAAGTGGGAAAGTAATAGATTGAGAAGTCTTTCGTTTTCACGCTAAGGATAGTGAATAGAGTTGGTAGGAAAAGATGAGGGGTATCCGTTTTTGGAAAGTGAGTGAAAGTGGGAGATATTGGAGTACGTGTTGACGAGAGCGGTAGCAAGGTAAGAAAATCGGCAACAACTGAGATTGTAGACTCAGGCTTGCATGTATGGGAATTTTCTGAGAGGGAGCTTCAAGATACGCGCGAGCTTTGATAGTAGTTGTACATTAGCTAGGTTGCTGAAGAGTAGAAAGGAGAAGATATTGTAGATTGTGGGTTCGTGAGTTCAAATGTGAAGTAGCCAGAATTTCCTGGTTCGATATGCCGAAGAAGAGAAGGGTAAGCTGACCTTGTACCAAGTGAATACTGCGTGAATTTGATCCAATTGTAAATCCGGTAGAGGTTTGGAATAAAAATTGAATGTACTCTGGTTAACGGTAGACAAAGACAGCGAGGATGAAACTCTTGGAAATGGGAATCAATTGACTCTGATAGTGCTCACTGTGGATTATCTGAAACAGATCCTTGGGACCACTGGATTGACCTCCTCTCAAAAGCAGAAGCTAATCGACACCAGAGAAATTCACCAAAACGCGAAAAAAGCATGCTGTAAATGATTTCGAGAATATCGAATGATTCACGTAAGACTTCAGATGATGTCAAAAGCTCGGATGGATGAAATGTGCAATGAGAACTTATCTCTTTCTTCTGCATGAGTATTTGCGAGGCCAAGTCTCGGGAAGACTCGAAAGGGAAAGAACTCAAGCGTGAAACTTGGAGGAAGAAGGTGCACTTTCCTTCCAGAGAGTATATACGCGTATCGTGGTTGTAATCTGCAGATCAACATTGCTTCCTAGTATTTCTAAGTTGTCATCGTTTATGAGGACTTATGTAGCTAATAGCTCTCAGAGACTCAGCTGCTGTTAGTGTGTAAGTTTTGTCTCTTTCAAAAATAAGAATACGAAGATCAAGCAGGAGTGGTATCAATCAAATTTCCGAATATCCAACCGGCAATGGAGTTGAGATGAAAGTAGAAAAGTATAACAAAGCGTATCCCACCACTAGCCAGACTTTCCATCCTAAAAAACCACTTCACTCCTTCGCCTTAACCTTCAATAACCTCTCCGCATTCTCAAACGCAAACCCCCTCATCTCCATCGAATCCTCCTCCCCAAAAAGTCCACTCTCAACCACCCTCTCTACAAACTCCCTCCCCCTCTCATTCTCCGAAAACGGATAATCAACACTAAACAAAATCTTATCCTTCCCTTTCGTCTGCACCAAACACGCCAACGGCGCCAACGAAAACATCCCACTAGTAGTAACCCACAAGTTTTCCTCCCAAACCTTTTCTAATCCTCTCTCCCTTCCCCATCTCCCCGATACCTTAAATATCCTCTCCAAATTAAACGGCAAAAGCTCCCCCATATGCCCCAACACAATTTTCAACTTCGGGAACCGATCAAACACTCCCGCAGCATAGAGACGCAAAAAATGAAGCCCGGTATCGAAATGCCACCCTAGTCCCCAATTACTAAGCGCCATCGCTATACCCTCTGGATAATTCCCGCGATATTTACTCATATCTTTTTCAGCTGTGAAATTGGGATGAATATAGATAGGTACATCCAAAGCACTAGCTTTTTCGAAAACACTCCAGAATTTCTCATCGTCGTAGAATTCGCCATCAAGGTGATTATCAATTAACGCACCCACAAAACCGAGTTCATTAATGCAACGATCTAACTCTTGAGCGGCTTCTAAAGGCGATCCCATAGGCAGGGTTGCGAAGCCTTTTAGACGGGAAGGATTCTTGGAGATGGCAGCTGCGAGTTCATCGTTGATTTCTTGACACAATTTAAGAGGAGCATGATCCATAGGACCATGAGAAAGGATTTGTAGAGAAATGTTTCCATCATCCATATCCTTTATCCGTTCATTATCAAGAGATTTTAGTTTCCTGGAGATTTGAACTGGGAACCCTGCAAATGGGTCAGGGGTTCCGCTTGCTTGTTGGGCGGCAAGCACTGCGGAGGAAAGAAAGTGTTCCTCGAGAGTGATTAGAGGTAACATTTTGAGAGATCTTTGAATGTTTGGTCTTATTCTTGGAAGGAATTGAAACATCATCTTCTAAATTCGTTGGTGAGAAATATTCATTGAATATATATAGAAAAGGGTGTGAGATGAGGTGCAGTTAGCTTCGGGTTTATTCTCATACTTGATTTATCTCCGGATCGCGAACGGATATACCTATTACCTACTCCGCAGGCAACTAGAAACAGCACATCCGTAGATCTTCCCACTTTCAATTCAACATGTTCTATTACTATGGGTATAATCTACTGATAGAGAAGAAATACAGGAATTTGTGGAATATTCATCGCTGATTCATCCATGGGAAAGTTGTAAAAGGACCACCTATAGCGCGACTGTTTTACCTCTCTTAGCACTTTCCCTGGCTGCCTCAATAATCCTCAAAACATCTCTAGCTTCGCTTGCTTTCACTGGAACAGCATCTTCGCTGCCACTAGTTATAGCAGCAGCAAAGCCTTGGTAAAGAGCAGCATAGGTTTGCGGAGTCACGTTCTTGTAGGTGCTGCCCTTAGGTTTTCCATCCTCGAATACCACTAATCTTCCAGACCTATCTTCTGATTCAATACCAAAGTTGGCATCACCCGGCTTAAGACCGGCCTTCAATTGGTCTTCTTGGATATCAAGGTGGTACTTCTTGAAGCTACCTTGTGATCCTCGAACCCAATATCGTAATTGCTCTTCTTCCACGCACAGAACCTATGAATTGTTTATTAGTGATGTTCGAGATATGAGAAGTAAGCTGTGAGTAAAAACAGTGTTTGATGCTTACCCCAGCCTTTGCGGTTACTAATGGTCCCTTCTCGCCATAATTCAGCATTACGGTAATACTGTCTGGTTCTGCCGAGCCATCAGCTCTTTGATTCGTAAAGATTGCCGTTACTGTCTTCGGTTGGCCAAATAAGCAAAATGCTTGATCGATCAAATGTGTTCCTAGATCATATATAACACCGCCAGCATCCTCCATAGTCAATGTGCCCTTCCAAGTTGCGGGTTTCTCGCCCTTGAATCTATCGAAGTGTGTCTCAAATTCAACCACTCGTCCCAATACACCATCTGCCATCAATTTCTTGACAGTCAAGAAATCAGAGTCCCATCTTCTATTCTGGTATACGCAGATGAATTTTCCAGTTTCTTTGGATATAGATATAAGCTCTGAAGCTTCCGCGGATGTAGGAACGAATGGTTTCTCTACCATGACATGTTTACCAGCTTGTAAAGCGGCTTTCGTGAAAGGGAAATGTGTTTCGGGGGTTGTGGATATGATAATGATATCGATTTCCGAATCTGCAAACATAGCATCTGCGGAGTTGTAGATTTTGGCTTCTGGATGATCTTGGGCGGCATTGTCGTTTGGTTTAGGTGTTCGTTGAACAATTGAGTGAAGGGTGAAGGATGGTGTAACAAGAATGAGCGGAATATGGAAGACCTTGGCTGACAAGCTACAAGCTTCAATTAGTACATGTTCGACGGCTTTCGAGGAATTATACAAACCCGTAGCCAATTACTCCAACATTGTATTTCTTATCTGCCATTTTGATTGAGATGAGGTATTGAAAATTGAAAAGTTTAGCAAAGAACAGAACTCTCAATGTTACGATATAGAGAATTTTGAATTATAGGAAAGTCAACCCCTCTTTATAACTTATTGCCCCTCACCCCGTCATGATGATTTCTCATTTATCCTGCGGAGGTGGAGAGCCAAGGGAGCTCTCAGAAAAAATACCGAAGTCACCCCGGTCGGACTTTCCTAAATTGATTCGCCGACACGTGATGATTGGCTCGTTTCGATGTTTTTTCTTAGAAAGGAAGAGGAACATACTCGTATAAGAAGTGGCCTTTTGTGAGGGAGGTATTTGGTTCTCTATGATCTTGTTGTATCAATGTGATCATCGAAGGAATCAAGAGGAAATTGTAAAGCCCTCACTAATTTCGGCAATTTCGGTGTCATAATATTAACCTGCAACAACTAGTATGTGAGCCACTGGAGGCATCACTACGTGTTCGTGGGTATGATTAGTCTCATTACCTTAGAATTGGATTTCCGGTGGAAATGTGTCCTACTCAAAGTTGAGTCCGAAGTCATAACTTTATGTTAGTCAATCCAGACCATACTTTTTAGAACATGACCTGAAAACCCGGAAATATCGAAACTCGATGAAAGCCCCTGGAATCCCATAAACTTCAACACATTATCGCCCAACTAGGCGATAGTAACCGATCTTGGGCCTCAAGCAAAGGAGAATGCGAGGCTTCCATACAGAATCTGCATTAATCCAGGTGCAGACTAGAATTTGAGGACATAATGGAAGCTTTCTAATCTCTGTGTACGGTGCTGTTGTGGTACTCAGAGATGTTACGATTGTGCACAAGGGAGCAAACACTGGAACAGATGATGAAGGCCTGGGTCTCATTGAGCAAAAATCGTTGTAGTTTATTCTTGTTTGCAAGCTTTATGATCGTCTACTCTACTTACCCTCTATCATATGCTGCGATCATTCAATCTAGCAGATTTGTCATGCCCTACCGATGAAATCGAGAATCTCAAAAACATTAGACCATGAGATCTAGCTTTAGGTAAATTTCACACGTGAGGCAACTTGTGAGCTAGGGATAACATAGAGGGAACTTTGGAGGTGTGGAAAAGGACAGAGGAAAGAATCAGAAGCATATGAGCGATAGTGTCGTAGTATTTGGTATTGAACTGATCTAGTTTGAAAGTTGTGGCTCCAGAAGTTCAGAACCCCAGCTTCCTCCATCTTCAGGCGCAACAGGCACGATGTTCCTAAATTTCTTCTTCCTGGATTTCTTCGCTATCAAGCTTCGCCACGTGGAGATGTTATTTATTGCTTCATCTTTTCTTGCCACGTATGTATGAGCCGGAGCCTCGTCCGCCTATCAGAACATTTAGTTATTACAGCTGAAAGTTGAGGGATCTATACTAAATCAACTCACTAGATTGTTCGCTTCTCCCTGATCGATTGCGTGGGATTCGACGTCGGCCTTCACACTTGAAACATTCGAGACGTGTAAGTCAGCTACAGAGGGCTCATGGGACTTTGGTGTCTGTATTACGGGGGTCGGAGGGTCTTCGAGAGTAACTTCTAAGGTAGTTTCGGATCAGAAAAATTCTGGCTCACATCGGATATTACGTACCTGAAGCATACCGACCCGCATGCCATTTGCAGGTCTTTAGGCCTTCCTCTAGAATATGTATCTTCTTTTCCAGCTGCTCTCTTTGTGTCTGGTTTTCCTGTGACTCAGCAGCAATTTGTGAAACAAGTTCGTTGGTCATCTGTGCTACTGCAAGTGGATTGAAGACATCCGCTAGCTTGTCCACGATTGATGCCTCTATGACCTGGACAGATACATTGTCCACAAAAGTCTTCATTGCCACCTGAAGAATTATTTAGCCAAATATCACGTTATTTTTATGTTTTGATATCTCACATTGTAAAACGCTTCCAAATGATCAAGAAGCTCAATGCTAGCACGCGTATCCATGTCTGGTATAGATCCTGACACCATAGAGCATATGATCGAGAGATCCTTCGGTCCAGTGCGAACTTGACTGTAGTTGTCTAAAGGGAACATTTTCTCCAAGACTTCTAAGAGCTTCTTTTGATTACGAGCATCAGAAATTTTTTGGGCGTTTTCAGTGAAGTAATGATTATAAGTTATGGAATGTCTATGCCGATCACGGAACAACCTGTCCAATTCATCAGTGGCTTTCTTGAGTAGCTTTTCCATTAATGGATCGACGTAAAGCATGAGCAACGCCATGTATGCCTCTGAATCCATGAGAGAAGAAAGTATGTCTTCTAAATGATCACGAGCTTTTGCCCAGATATCTTGAAGGTGGGTTTTGGAGATGTTTTCCCATGGTTTCGATTGCACTCTGAACAGATCTCCAATCAGCATCGGACTGAAAGTTCCTGGCAACTCTCTCCCTCTCGAAGAAACTAGCATATCCCGAACCCATGAGATAGCTTTAATACTTTTCCCTTCGAATCCAATACCCCTAAGATTGATATTTTGGCCGTCTATCCGCACCATTTCGGCAAATGCGAGGTTCAAATTTTGAACAACAGCTCGGAATCTGCGGGTCTTGAACTCTTCACTAGCAATATCTCCGAAAAACTTGTCCTCGTATATACCATCACATGAAGCTCTGCAGATGTTCGTGAAATGCTGGCTATGCTTAAAAAGATACAACCGTTGTTGTTCAGCATTTCCGCGGCGATCCCCGAGTTTTGTAAATGCTTGCTGTGACTCGTGCAGGATGTCTTGGATTTCGTGAATGAGAGCTGGCAGCTCCGACTTGATGTGGTCTAAGAGGACCCTGCTCAGACGCTCTCGTAATTTTGCAACCCCTAAAATTCCTCGAGGCAATGTTTTCCAAATTCCTTGGGAGAAAAACTCTTCCTCTATCCTGTCTCTCTCCACAGAGGTGACATGTTTCGTGTTAAAATCGCGGTTCCTCAGTACGTGCCAACCGAGTCTGAGTTGCGTTACTTCATTTGAAGCTAGCTTGACAAAGTCTTTTTCGCTCTCGGAGTCCTCAAATAGAGTATCAGGCTTCGTGATTAAGCCCATAGTGCGCCTGCCGTGTGGATCCACTGCTTTGACTTGCTTTAGTACTGCTTGGAGAGCCCGATCGTTCAGCGCAGAGACAACTGCCAATATGATTGTTCTTGGACGGCGCATATATGAGTAAACAAGTTCAGATACCACTTCCTCCACATTTTCGTCATCCTCGTCATCATTCTTGGCGTGAATCAAGCCAGGTAAATCAACGACTGTTAGATGAGGCCTTGTCGGGCCAGATATTTCGATGCGAAGTATGTCTGAAGAAAATCCGCTTCCAGGCTTGTCAAGACCTAGAGCAATCTTGGCAGATTTTATCAATTCCGGCAACTTGTCAAAAGAATGAAGTGTGTACTGAAAGCCGGCGAGTTCTTGGCTCTCTTTCTGGGACCTCTTTTGGCTAGGAACAATATTCACCACGACTGACTCCACGGAACTCTTGCGAAGAACAAGCTCAGTAGCAAAGCGAGTACACAAGGTATCTTTGCGGGGAAATGGGATTCCCGAAATGGCCTCTAGGCAGGAGCTTTTCCCACTAGATTGATCTCCACAAACGGCAATCTGTGGCAAGGAGACATGATCACTAATGCCAGAACGGCGAAGCGTGTCGATTTCATTGAGTAGACTCAGTTGCTCTTCTGATCTGAGAGCGGTGAGCTTACTGCTTTCGAAAGTACCCATTCTTTAAGATGTCGTGCGTTGGAAAGCATCAGGAGAATAAAATGAACTGAAGTTCAATCAACATTATGCGTAACCAACGCATCATGCATCCAGCCGCCACCTGCGCTTCGAAAATGTTTGATTGGATATCCCAAGATCCCTACCTTGTATTCTGATTGTGTAGGATTTGGATCAGATAGGAAGGTCTCTATCCCGACAGTGCTCGCTTAAGCCACACACAGAGTGTTACATGCGAATCAAGCCAGCTTTCGTAGTCCTCAAGCTGCTTAGCAATTTTCTGGATTGGACGCACCGAGGTTCTTGAAGAAGCTCCAGGTCAGCCATCTGTGGCAGCCAATGAAATAGAGTGCGCATTTTTGCATGGCCATTGGACCAACGATTGGATCTACCATTTGCAGATACTTGTAACTTGAACTTGTCTCGAACGGTGAAATAATTATATGAAGATCAATCAATGTTGGAGTATTGAACCACTAGAAGAAAGGTTCGTAGAATCAATTGTATTGATGCAGGTTATATGAAAGAGGAAAGCTCTCCATATGCAATTGTGCTTAGTCAGCTACCGTAATGACCTGGTGGACGACATTCAACAATTAATCTACGAATTTGAAGTATCAAGATGATATTCTGATTCTATTCCATGTATAGTTGTACTTGATATTTATAAGGGCGATTTGTGTTTGTCCATATTGTGGAGCTGGTGAGCAAGAACAAATCAGCAGGTTAGTAGTGAAATGAATTTTTCACCGACAGAGTAGATTTCTACAGAGTTCATGTCTTATGGGAGTTCACGAGAGCAAACAAAGCTCTCAATAAGAAAATGGTTTACATGTTATTATTATTCTGATTATGTATCGTACATTATCTATCATCTTCGTTTGAGAAACACCCCTTCATATGTGACTAACTGGCGCGAGCCATACGTACTTCTTGATACTCCCGTACCATGTGTCCAAAATATGTACGATGACTGACTAGCAGAGTCTTAGATGCCATACGCCATACGCCCAGGGTCAAATGGAAGTACAGATTGAGATGAAGAAATGATTCAGCAGTCCCAGGAAGACCCCCGACAACATTCCCCCCAAAAAGTATCCTATGAAAAACATAGTTTAAAGGAAAGATTTAGTACAAGATCTTAAACGCCGATTCAGAAATAAGCAACTATCAGAGCATCTTTATGTCGTAAAATATGGCTGGCAAAGGCCAAGCAAGCACATTAGCACAAACTAGTACCTTGAGTATCTGTTTCTTCCAAATCCATAACCCGAAGAATATGATCCGCCATAGCCGCCATAACCACCATAACCATATCCGTTTTTTCTGTAACTAGAGGACTTGGAAACTTTGTAGTTAGACGATTTGGTTGTAGATGAGCGCTTGCTTGTTTTCTTGACTTCAGTGGGAGGAGCTTTGTAATTGCCACCTGCCTTTTCGGCTTTTTTTCTCGCCAAATCCCTAACAAAGCGCTCTTTTACCCACTTAGCTTTGTTGACAGTGGTCTTTCTCTCTTCAATGGGCTTTGTAGACCATGCTGCTTGGAGAGCGATAGGGCTTGAGATAACGCTCTTGAAAGATTCAACATCCAATCCGATATCGATGATCCATAATCCACGTTTCTTGGAGTAGCCAACAGGGTCATTCTTAAACTCCTTGTCTTTTTCTTTAATAAAGCCATATGTATACTCAAACTCTGCCCAGGATTCAATAACTGGATTGCTATCTTCTTTGATAGATTTCGCCATCTCAAGAACTCTATTGCGGTCAACCTCAGTCATTTCACTCCAGGCAATTTCCATTCCTTGCATATTGCCTTCATGGAGCTGTGCAGTTTTGTAGGAGAATGGTATAACATCAAGGCTAAGCTTTTGAAGCCATTCGCGGCGTTTTTCACTATATGCTGTGTGTGTCGTGAAAGCACTTACTGGGTAGATCTCATAATCTTTCTCCAGAGTCTCCCACGAAAGAGCTGGCAGATTGGGCTTAGCATTGACATACTTTGCTTTAGCTTCGATAGCTCTTCGCTCAACACTAGGCTTCTGATCATAGAGATGGTTCAATGCTTGTAGTTCTCGTGTACTCTGCGCTAGAGGTAGATATCGGGGATCATCGAAGCCAAGTGCTTCAAGCCAAGCCAAGCGTTTCGGAACAAGGTCATAATATGCCAAATTCTTTCCCTGGGGAGTATTGAAATAATTTTGCTCCAATTCGTAGAACGACAGAGGTGTTGGGCCGACAAGATCGATTGGAACAGGAGTTCGCAGAGCGAAAGGTGCTAATCGAAGTGGCACCGCGTGCGTGAGTTGATAGGGTGGCTTTAATTGAACAGCTTTCTGTTCAATGTCTCGGCGCTCTTCTGGAGACTTCAAAGCCCAATGAATTTCGACTTTGTCTCTTTGTGACTCATTAGTAAACACAAAGTTGTATGGCGAAACATCAATACCCAACTTTGCCAACCATCTTCTGCGTGCAAGTTTTGCATTCTCATCCTGAAAGTTTTGGCCATTTGGATACATTTGTTCTAGCTGATAGAACGTTAAGTAGGGAGCATAGACCAAGGGCTTTTGGGCAACCTTAACGGACGATGGTGGTGACATTTGGTTATTTGAAATGTTTGCCAATGGCTGACGTGGAGTAGGAGTTGCAGGTGGACAAGACTTTTGCGACTGCGACATTGGACGATAGCCTTGTTGGAAGCTTGAAGCCGGTGGAGTCATGCCATAGGCTTGAGTGGAAGTGGAAGGAGACATGTGATTTTGACTGTGCGCACCAGGCTGAGATTGCGGCTGAGAATTAGGGAAGGACGTTTGAGACATTGGCAAGTCATAGTTTGTGTCCAAGTCTATATCATCATCATCACTGAAATCATTCTCGCTGAACGTAACAGCATTATGGCTACTGTCTCGAAGGGACTGTGCATAATTATTCTTTGGGAAAGCGGATTGCGAACTCTGGCTCTGTGCAGAGGCATGACTTTTCTCTTTGTCGAGCATTGTGTGACCTGCGGCTGTGAGAGTGAAGCCTGGTATGTTCTTAAGATTATCCACAGTTTGAAGCAGATTGTCAAGCTTCAGGTTGACAGCTCCATTTTGCGATGGCCTAAAATTACGTTAGTTATATAATCATAGTCAAGGACAACCAGCGAAATTTGGGTTTGTCCACGCGCCTTCTTCCGTCCAATGAAAGCTCCCAACGGCAGTCATCAACCAAAGAGGTGACGGCAACATGAAAATTGAAAAGATCCAAAGTTATTAATAGTACTCACGCAGTAGAGGCTACATTTGATTTAACCCTTTTATTAACCACCTCCTCGATGGAAACATGACGGGCATCTGATTGTGTCAAACGTTGCACTAAAGCAGCTTTCAAGCCATCAGTCCGAAGTTGACGAGCTTTGAGAACCTCCTTCAATTCTACCACTCGATATTTTGCGTAATCGACCATCATGTCGTCGGTCGAATGTGATTGACTGGAGATGTGGTACACTTCGTACTGTGAATTCATCGACTTATGTCAATTCCAAGTGATGTGTGCACCAAGTTTTCAAACTTCAAAGGAGTGAGAAGTTTAAAATGATGTCGTGGCAGGGTAGGTAAACAAGCTCGAAACTATTTACGCGTTTGTTTGGTCACTTAGATTGTTGAAATGAGCAATAACGCGACGGCCATTATCTAGTGAATTGGAGTGGGCTGTTTTGGTATATCATCCGATTGAAATGGGATCTAGCTAAAGACGTAAGTTCATTTCGAGCTTCAACCCATATCTTTTTCCATCTACACAATCTATTCCATGTACGTTTTCTTTTTACACAAATGTGGACTGACTTGCGCTCCTACTTTCCTTGTGAGAAAGCAACATGAGGTAGAATAGATCCAGTTGATGACGCTGGAGAGACCGATGCGAGGGAGCAGCGAATATCCTTTCTCGACGAAGTCATAAACACATCGTTCGTTGCACCGATATGTAGACCTTGCTTTCGATCCTCAGGGTAGAAGTAAACAGCTGTTGCAGGATAAAGAAGATGATAAAGGAGAACTCCAATGAATAACTCATGACAGTGCAAATGAAATAATGCCATGAGAATTGGCTAAAAGGACCTTATCCGTGTTCCGTTCCTTTTTTGAAAAGTTCCCAAATATTCCATTTCTATGTACCCGTTCGCCCCATCCATCTATCCATTACCATGATCCCAAATTCCTAGTCTTACAGCCAATGTACTCCACCACTCCGAGCCCGCCTGATAACCTATTTACCATCCTTGCTCCCCACTCTGCGCTCCATCTTCATGCTCTACTTTCATAGCATCGTGTAGTCAGATTCCATTTCTAATTTCCGCTCTTGGTACCTCTCCCTCCTCCTTCTTAACCACCATTCTCTTCCCGTTCGGGAATCTCAATTCTCCCGCCCCATTGCTCGCAGACACAAATCCATAAAGCCATCTTGCCACAACCCATGAACTAACAGCCCATACCCACACCAGAATCCCCAATCCACAGGTAACGAAGAGAGTTGGCACAAGTAAGAGCAAAGCAATTCCGATCCAGAAGAAAGAGAAGAGGATAGCAGATATGAAGGAAAACGCGAGGACCGAGATGGTGAATGTTGTAAAGAGGAAGAGAGGCACGAGAGAGATGCTCAGGGTTGCGAGGAGGAATGTCTATCAAGTGCGGTTAGTGAGGTTGTGGGGAGACGGGAGATATGATATGAAAGTGGGATCTGATTGGCATGGGTATCGATGGAGGTTGAGATAAGAGTTAATTGTATGTATGTTGGCAAATGAAGAGTGGGAAAAGAGTGGGAAAAGAGTGGATTCAGCTGCAGAATCCATGGAGAATTCGCCATAGATTGAACCAGCCGATTCTTCGAATCCCTCAGATGTGACAGGAACAGAAATATACATACAGCAATAAGAGGTTGTTCCTGAAAGAACTTAGAGACATTCCCATAGAACTGGGATCTCTGTTCAGGGGTTACAGCGCGATCAACCATCCTTTGAACGCGTGAAATTGTACCGGCGACAACCATTTTCGTAATTTTACGTGTAAAATTGATCGTTGAATGTAGAGTATGAGTTTAGTATTGATAGAACCAAAGGAATCGAATGTTGAGTGTCTGTCGTTAGAAGCTCAGCGTGTAGTGCTGTACAAGATGAACATTGGAATGGATGATGACGTAATCATGACGGCCTCCTAATTGATGGAATTGTCAAAGCTTCAAGACATCCCTGAGTCGGTATCAAATTCAAAGTTTCTCATGATATTATCAAGCTGAAACATATTCTCGTGGCAGTACTCGGAGAAGTTACAGTGCAAAGCCGCGCTGTTGTACCTCTATAAATGCTATGGTGACGACATTTTGACCAAGCGGGATTACAAGGGCCAGTGCCTACTATCTCGAAGCAAATGCGCAGCAAACAGAGTAGCTTCTAGCACTAGTCATACAAATAGCTCTATCCGATCATGTTCGATATTGTAATTAGCGTCACAGACAGGTCCAGCGAATTCTGTTGGGTTGGGAAGGAAGAATTGATGGTTTCTATCTCCTCAGAGATCTATCTAGCTCTTCTAGAGGATAATGGAATCATACATATTAAGACAAGAAGCGACCAGCACATTGATTCTCGTCCAAGCCTCAAACTCTTTGCTGTTAGTGATGGAACTCGATGTAAATGTATCAGCTCCTTGGTTATGCAGTCAGTTGGTTCCCTTGTGAAATAACGGTTACTTGCATGATACCCGACCCCATGGAAACCTTTCGTTCTTTGGTAGAAAGTGATACATCAACTCCGAAACCCTTAACCATAAAGAATTCATCTCAGTCAGATTATGATTGATTATTAAATACATAGCGATTCACGTCTTTTGAGGACTATGGTATCTGAACTAAGCAAGTAGTAACATTTTCCTTTTCGAAAACTTACACTAATGTTAGAAGATCACATCTCAGAAAATTGATTTGAAAGGCAACAGTCAGGTTCATTCAGAATGTCAGCTACCGTGAATTCCAATTCACGCACGAAGCACCGTATAACTCCGGCAGCGGGCGGCCCTATCACCCTTCAAGTGGGAGAACGGCGATTCATCACCACAAAGAATACGATGACAGGAGAAAGCCATTTCTTCGCGGCACTAATGTCAGGGCGCTGGGATAGTAACAAGCAAGCAGATGGCTCTTATTTCATTGATGCGGATCCCGACCTCTTCGAACATATCCTGCGGTACCTTCGACGAAGTGTCCTTCCTATTTTCTACCATCCCGAAAAAGGTCACGACCACGTTCTATATCTCGCACTTCTGGGAGAAGCGAGATATTTCCAGATTACACGATTAGAGAATTGGTTAAAGAACAAGAGATATCTTCATGCAGTACGTGTTCACTGTTCTATAGAGGAGTTGGACGATTTCTAGTCCGAAACTCAATGGACAGATGAGAATGTAGTGTATCATCCGCGTTGGGATACAGAAGAAGTTTATATATGTCCACGAGAAATTGATGTCCACAAGGGTAGCGAAAGTGCGTGTAGAAGGCAGTGTGAGAATGTACGTGGTGATTCGGGGTACAAATACGAGGATGAGCCAATTTTGAAGACGCTGGTGATTCGAAAAAAACTTGTTGTCGATCAGGAGGCTTGTCTGGAGGGATTGGATGAAAATTGATTAGACTAAAGAAAAAATGAGGACTGGAAGCACAATCGCAACGACAGGACTGCTCAATGCCTAGATAATCATATATCTTCAAAGAGCCGAATTGGAAGGTGATAGTCCAACAAATAACTTCTGGCGGTGATCCTAGCGATTCTGTACTGTTCAAGTATTTTCCAGGGTGGTACGTAATTGCCAGAAACATGCTTTGAAGTCAAATGTTCATACTATAAATCCACTTTAATTGTTGATGAGGTTTAACAGAGAAGTCGAAAATTGTGGATAAGCACCCAAGGTCAACAGCCAGGCTCCGAGTTCCTAATCACCCAAGCTCAACTTCCGAAAATCAAATTTAATAACTCAATCATTCATCCGACAAAATCATCTCTGCTTTAATCAGATCCCAGCAAAATAGCATACATGATAAGACGAGCCACATCTTGATCCTTGCACTCTCAAAGTGCCTTACAGTAGTACATATACATAACCCAGATATCAGACATTATCTTCTCCAATTGCCGGGGCGGAATTCTTGAATTTGTCTCCGCAAAGGTAGAACACCCGCGATTCATCATTTGGGGCTGCTTGCTCCTTGTTATCCGAATTTTTGGGTTGTGATTCAATCGTGTCTTTGGCGTTTGACGCAGAACACCGCCGATATACATTTGTCACCATCTCCCTGTACCTCTCTCCCAGCTTTTCCTTAGCTGAGCCGACAAGCAAGTAACGGGAGAGTCGCTGCCATTTTTCCGGCTTTTTTCTATATCCATACCATGCCGCCTTAAATAAAACAATAGGAAAGAATAAGAAGAAGGGAAATATCGTGAGTATTGGCCTCGGTGCTTTGAGTGCCAAGCAAAGGAAGAACAAAGTCAGCGCAATTGATATCGGAACTATAACATAACTATCAGCATTGGTATAAGATAAGATTGGGGGCAAGAATGGGCCAACGAACACATGAACTCGAACTGTTCTCCAATGCCCATGACGGAGTTTGACGATCCAGTAAACTCCACCGCATTCATACCGAATATACTGCTCATGAAAGATAACGGAAGGAAAATAATGGTGATAATGGTGAATATCATGATAGATCGACCTTGATGCACACTTTCATCCGCGAGGTCTAGTGAAGCGGTGGCTTCTATGATACTAGCTTGTTGTTGTTTTAGTGTGAGTAGGTCTCTTAATTGATCGGAAATTTCACGAGCACTATCCTCGAGCTGTTTCAATTCGCTCTGATGATTAGATATAGTTTCAACCAGATCCAAGGATCGATTGATAGTATGTTTTAGAATGACTTTGTTGAAATTTTTGGGAGTATCCTTAGCCGGCGAGTCGTTGGTTATGCCATTTGAATCCGAGAGATTCTTCTTTTGCAGTTCTTTTAACATAAGACTCAAGAGGCCAGCCATTTCTTGCATTGGCTCCACCTGTCCATTCATTGTCTGTAGGGCTTTTGAGAAGACTTGCGTAACTTGTAATCTAAATAATGGTAAGCCCAGCAGGTGAATTAAAGGGATAATAATGGAAGGAGAAGAAAAATGTTTCATCAAAATGAAGAGTACCAGTGGGGGGACCACTCACTGTTGCAAATTGATACGCGAAATCATTTTCAATTCTTCGATGATATCATGGGCTTCTCGTAGCAAAACCCCTTCTGGATTAATATTGTGATAGAGTCGTGCCTTTTCTGGGCTGATTTTTAGTCTGTGGCCACTCAGTTGCTCAACATGACCCCAGAATAACTCGAATGCGTTCGTTTTCATTTCGGACTATTATTTATCAGCTGATATTGCATATGATATGTCAATGCGTCTACACTCACAACATAACCAATAGCATTGGAAAATATATCCAAAACCTCGGGGCGTTTATCAGTAGGCTTTGTGCGATCGAAAAATACTGTCGAACACTCATTTAGGATTAAAAGAGCTAGATCATAGACTGAATTGATCTGGCCTGGACGGATCTTTTCCAGTCGGTCTCTGATACATTTATGCACACCAGAGGAGTCAGGCTTATTACGACCCAGCCTTCTTGGAAAGCTAGTAATGATGGTATCTATGTACGTGTCAGTAATGTGATCCAGTAAAAAAAAAGTGCTGTCTCCAAAAGGCAACCCACGTTCGTCAAGAATATACATCCATAGCTGATCGACCATCACTACGCGGGTACTCCCATTAATTTTCCTCCGCTCATTTGTACCACGAGAAACAACCTGATCCTTGTCCCGAGAATCTGTATTTTCAAGCTTGAAGTAGTAGGACTGATCAAGCGTACGGCGTGGATGCAAAGGCGGTGTTTCATGCAAATGGCTGCGTAATAATTTGATATCCGGTTCAAGATCCATTGCCTCGTAGACTTTCGCAGCTTGCATCAAGTAACAACCACAGGGATTTGTGACCTTTCCCGGAACGTTTTGATTTGAACCACTCTTAGAACTGGTTCGAAAGAAACGGCTGAACCCAGTTATCCGCTTCGATTCACTAGAAGGGGCAGGGCCATCAAAACTCGTATGCTCCTTGACCTCGGGCTGTTGTAAGAAGGCATATTTCTTCCTAGTACTTTCGACAATCCCTGCAAGTTTGTTTTTGTTAAGTATGTGGTGACGAGGCTGTTTTGCTTGATACTCAGATGTGAGTTCTTTCGCAATTTTGGTCATGTGAGCTCTTTTTCGATCCATCTCCCAGTGAAGGTAAGGCATCTAGAAAGTTTGTCAGCTGCCAAACCGAATACATTTGAACTTGATCTTACAAAAAGGACTATATTATTATTGCTGCTCTTTCTAGGAGTATAGTGATATTCGGCAAGAATGGCATCCATCTCTGTATCTATTTCTGTCAACAAAAATAACATTTATCATGAAGAGGTGACTTGCCTTGAGGAATAAATTTGCAATGCGAGCGCATGTGCCGAGCATGAAGGGGGTCGTTTAAAGCGCCATGCTGCTGCCCTACCCACAGTTCCCTAGAAAGAACTTTTGATGTCTGTGGTCGATGGTCTTTGCTTTCATTGTAATGCCTTTGTATTGCTTTCTTCAGTTTCACATTAGCTTCATGTCAAGGCATCCGAGATTTATAAACTTACTTCGATCCATTTCATATTATTAGCAGGGAAATGAAAGTAGCGAATGCTTTCGGTATTTTCCTTTACCCATGGATCTTCGTCGCCGTTAGGCTCGAGTACATCCGAAACGGAATACCTTTCCATCTGATACTGGTCAAAAGATGTGATCTTGGCCGAGTTTTCTGATTGCCCCTTCTTTAAGGTAATTTTCGAGACGCTGAACCCATAACCAGAGTCATCCAGAACATCTTTTTTTACTTCGGGAATCGAATCACCAGGAGGACTCCACTTTTCTACCACTTTCAGGATCCTATCTTTGTTTTGCGCTCCAAGTATCTCTTGGCCCTTTTCCAAAAGGTCTTTTCTAACCTGTGCAGCCTTCGTTGGTGCGTTTCTGAAAGCTCCGAATTCTCGCTTCAATTTTGCTTGCTCATTTTTCAGTTTCGTTATCCAAAGTGCATTATCCTTCGAGTTCGCCTCACAAGAGGTGATAGCATTTATCTTCCAGGCTACCTTGAGCTCTTTCAACTTCTCAATGTCAGTAACATTCCTCTGTTTCCCGACAAATACTGCTCGTAATTCCGCAATTCGATCTAGTTCTTGCTTGATCTTAAGCTCATACTTTTTTGGTAGTCCCTTCCTGAAATCATCTGGAAGACCCGCTTCAAAATCGCCTAATTGTCCGGTTTCGATATCACCACGTCTGTCATATCGGCAACGCAGGTATAAAGAAACGTAATCGCCTTTATCAAGGAGCTCCTGCGGAGTTGAATCATCATAAAAGTCTTTTTTAATAGTAGAAGTGCCATTAGCGCCGTCTTGATTTGCTGAGATTGTGTGAGCCATGGGAACGATGCGGTATTTCTTCTGTGGAGGATTTCAGAAGTACTCGACAAGTTATGGGAAAGGTCAGCAAGTTTAAAGCCTGTAGCTCATTGAGCCGCATCAAGAGTGTACTTGCTCCTCAGCCCCACCCCCCAAAATCCCCCAATTTGTAAAGTATTTGCGCGATCAGCGCCAAAAGAGAATCCCAGCAACATGTTGGATTTTCAATCGACCAAATCATAAAGCACTGGGGAGTATAACATTCCTCGATTAACAAATGAGGCGAGAGCTCTAAGGATTTGTGGCAACTACATGCATGCGAACCAAAAAGGATATACAGCTTGAGGTAGCAAGGTTACATTGTATAATAATCCCTGCTTTTTCTTACCACTGAACGAGTTGGCCTTTCCGCATCATCCATGTGATGACCTCATTTGTGCATGTAGATAAGAAAAAAAATGAGTCCAGAGCGATAGAGTTTGCGATGAAGCTGAAACTTGACCTGGACAACTTGACCTCCAAACTCATTTGACACTAGTCTCCGAAGTTGAAGAACCGGAAATAAAATAGTGAAGCGAATTAATCCCCCACGAATTCAACTACCATTAATATGTACAACATGCGCCAAGAAGGAAAGGCTGAAAGTATACCCCGATATGAGCAATTACACTGGCCCAACAATTTTGTATCATGGGCAATCTGCAGGATTGCAACCATTGTCGATCTTGAACAGTTGTTCGTATTTATGTATTTAGGCTACAATCTGTTTCATCATGCATCTTGAATTATTTTATCTATCCAGTCTTTCACTTTCGCTGCCATTGTTTCGCTGTGATCTACGTTTATATCCAATTAGCGAATGTTCCCCAGCCGTTCACCCCCCCCATAAATTAGTTCTAGACCGAGACCAAGTACTCACTGATGCAGAATCCATGATCGATCCCCTCTTTGTCAATCATCATGATAGGTTTGTTAGTTTCCTTGATTGAAAATGAGGAGGTGGAAGAGGCTGATGGCACAGGAGAACCTCGTGCAGCAATGAGTGCATCGCGTGTATGAGATGCTACCCAGTGATCCTGTTTTCTCTCAGCATAGATTCACGAGTATCAGACTAAAGCATACATTTTCCCCAAAGTAAAAAATGAGCTTAGGTGGAGAAGATTGAGACGACTCGGAATGCTCAACACCCCAGATCTCCGAATCCCATTTGTCATCCGTGATGGTGTTCATTTCGTCACGTGCAAGATGTCTGAAGACTTCATCAGTGTTGTCATGACCCAGAGGCGAATGAACATACAGTGCTTGCAAAATACCATTTTTACTTCTCAAAAAGCTCGTGGTGACTTTCGCTGCCTCCTCTGGCATTCCCGTGATCTTCTTCACGAGAAAATCCAAAACAACATTCGGAGCACAATAAAGAAGCATTTTAGCCGTAGAAGATGCCAAGACAGGAAAGTTCGGAATCGACATCAGAGGCGTAAGCTTTGCACCGGAAGGGGAGTGAGAAATGTGAGTAACTGTTGGGAACAGAAGAATGCCTGACAAAACTGCAGATATTGAAGAAACTGCAGCCGGTGCAATAAGCTTGGAAAGAGTTTCTAGAAGGATATAGGATCCAACCTAGAAATTTAGAACAAACTTTCCATGGAAGTCTGGGAAACTCACTGAATGCCCTATCAAGATCACGTTTTTGTATTGTGTGGGTGAACCATTTATCTGCTCTACTAGGCATTCATGAACAAGATCTGTTTGTTGTTCCAATGAGTATGGATTTTGATTGGGAGAATAAGAGTGGGCATCGTCCGTCTCGAAACCAGCCAACGATTGGCCAAATATATGGTAGGTATCCGAATTCTTGGTGGGCGAGGAAGACAGGAGATCGTTGAGGAGCGAAAGAAAGGTCGAGCTACGTAAGTGTCAATGAAGGCATATATACATATCGAGAAATACTAATACTAGTAGCCTATCAATCCTGGGTTGCCTGTGATGAAGAATATCAGATGATAGGTAGCGTCGGGAGAGTCTGAAACGGGACGGTATGAAATTTGTTGAGGCATCTTGTTCGAACTTTTATTGATATATAGAACAGCAATTTCAAACGAGTGAATTCTAAAGTTTATTATGTCTGAGAGGATAGAAGCGACCCGAAGTGAGTATCCCTTGATCTAGGTATACATGTTCCAAGGTAAGGTATGATATGGACTTTGGAGATTTAGGTACGCAAATTACGGTGGCCGAAACAAACATGCGGCGAGGTTGAAAGTCACAGAACAGGCCACCGTAGTTTCCACGTGAACACCTAGATGATATGTTTGGATGATTGGGTATAAATAAAACATCATCGATCCCAAAATCTCTTAAGAAGCCCATCAAATATCAATACAACAAGCTTTCCCTCGCAAAATACTCTTTGACCGCCTCACCCTCCCCAGTTTTCCTTTCCTCATCACCCAACTTCACCACGCACTTCTCTCCATCCATATATTTGTTCCACGTTCTTAAATTTTCATTTTTGTAACTATATTTCAAAGTCCCCGTCAAAGTCATGAGTCTATACCACTCCCCATCATCACCCGAACCAGACTCTCGAGATAAGACTCTACAAGGTAATCTGACACTTAGCACATGATTGATAGCCTTTTGATTGATTCGCTCCATCGGAATATGGTAATCGACGTCCAAACATAAAAATGCCATTTCTCCAACATCAAATCCTTTGTGATGAGTGGGTTGGGGAAATGCAAGATCGTTCAGAACAACTTGCGTCCATTCCACTTTATCTACTGGTTTGCTTGTCATTGTAGGATATTGGAGATTATCGTCTTGATCTCGAATACAACCCCAAGTGATTTCCTTTCCCGAAATATCTCCTTCATCAGACGGAGGATGACATGATGCGCTAATAGAGATTGACGTGGTGTCCCCCCTCAAGAAAGGATGCAACCTCCGTGTTCCGCTCAAACCAGCTTCTGAAAAAGCTGCGTAACACCACAAGCTTGCATTGAGAACCAGAGGAATATCGATTTCGATTGTAGAAGAGCCGATCCCATTGCTTGGAGAATTGACAATAGAGTAGACGTACACGGCTGGTATTGAAGGCTCGTTATGATTCAAGGGAACGACGCTTGTAGCGCTCATGAATATAATAAGAGAAGCCCAGAAATGCAGGATAATGGAACGGATTTGGATGAGGATAAACTCGCGCTTCGTGAAAGTGAGGAATGGAGTAGAAGATTGAGAGGTATCTGGCCAGGGAGAGGTTACGCTTAGTGCTGATGAGGAGGATGTGTAAGAGAGTAAAGAGGCGCGGGACTCGGACATGTTGCGATACAGAAGATACATGGAGTCCTGTAGCCAAAAGACCACTTGAAGTATATTGGAATAAAATAGTACCTAATGATTGTGTCAGTGGTGATGACAGACTCCACAAGTATGTGTGATATCTACCTCGACTATTCACATAGTGTCCTCCGATGATTTGGGAGTTGAAAATTGTTCGCGCCATTGTGGGACCGTGGCCGTTGTCGTTGCAGCGGTTACTATTGCGAGTGTCCAGCTATAAGAGTAAAGCCTTCTAGACCACCCAGAACCTTTACCATTTGGTATCCAAGCTTGTGATATCACTTAATTCTCGTCGTTAGCGTGTATATTACGAATCGTTAGTCTTCTAATTTGTTTCCGTGTTTTCATCATGTGTGCCCAATCCAGAAAGGCTATCAGGAGTTCGAACGATCTTTTGCAGTATCCTTTCGACAAAGTCGGCTTTCGAACATCGCCTAAGAAGGAAATTTTAGTGGGCCATGATTGTGCCCATGCTTGATTACACAATGCGAAGTTGGTGGAGTTTTCGGGATGTTCGAGATAAAAAGCCATAGCGTCTCCAACGTTGAATATCGGTTCCGTCTTGAAATGGAAGAACAAATAGACCGTAGCGGCAGTCATTAAGGACGCCTTAGCTATAACAGCATATCAAAGAATTCGCAGTGCGATAGAACCAAATTGGAGCTTACATTTTGAGGGCGGCTCTTGGTACAACAAGCAGTATTCTGCCTGTGGTTCAATATCGTTTCGAGGAGTTCCAACGGTGTATCCAGAGCATAATTAATATGCAAGATTGTCGCCGTTTGCCTCTGGTTTTATCAGAGGTAATGTGCCGTTTGAATACAGATAGCCTGGCGTGGCATCCAAGAAGTCATTGGGACAGAGCTGTAAAGACCCTTGTGTGCCTTTTGGTGTAAATCCGGGCATGGAACCAATTGCAAGGATACCACCAGTCACATTGGACGGTGGTGGGTAATTTGATACTATGACGAGTGTGGTGAACGTACCAACATTCGCATTCTGTGATCAGATGTGCATAACGGCGCGGAAGTAAAGAAATTTAGAGCCAGATTGGGTTCAGTTCCCGCGCGCTAAAGTGTCAAACATGGATCAAGGAGATGCCGAATGTCCATAATCAGCAAACCGCTATGTATTTGAGATAGAATTAGGACCATCAATCCCTTCGACGACCAGCATCCAATCATTTTTCGATTCTAGAGATAGGGCAGAAACCTGAAACAGAACATTGAGAGTTGCAATTGAGATTCTATAAAGGAAAGAGCGCAGGGTTACAGAAGTTGCTTCAGATGCAGTGTTCCGAGTGTTGGGCCTTGTATTAGACACCGAGGACGCGTCACTTCCCTGTCAACGGACTATACCGCAATCGTGGTATCTCATCAAGGAGTCAATGGCATACAACACACGGATTCCTGATGACAGCACATTGAAAGCGATACCCGCTGCAATACTGCAAGCTTCCATTTCGGGCTTCGCGGTTCTTCCAAAGAGTATGTAGGACAGAGAGCTGGAATTGTGACTCATGGTGGTTGCAAATGCTACTTCTGATCGCGGACTTGTCAGATCAACAGCCTTGTCTATTTGTTGCTAGAAAGAGTTTAATGCGTACAGCGCTGTTGTATTGCAGTGTTTTGAGCTCTCCCCTCGAACTTTGCTTTGAAGGGGTTGGAGCTGGATATCGGAAATTCTCCAGTAGAACAGCTCACCAGAATAAGAGAGAATTCATCGTAATCCCTTTCTCTCTCTCTCGCAATGACCTGTCAGCATGGGGGCTGCACAAGGGTCTTTTTCAAAGAGGATGGATTCTCCGACTTGAGCCAAAAATCTTAAGCCACCTGCACACCCAAAAATGGCTTTTTACGATTCACGATGATGTAAGATCTCACAGCATCGCTCATCATTCAAAATTCCAACCGTAAGTATTAAAATTAATCACAGTGAGAGTTATTTCCCTGTCCACATGACTTCCAGGATGGAAGTAAGGGAATCTCCTAACTTCACAGCATTCTTAATCTCGAACCGCTCATCTGCCTCCCGAAAAAGCTCTCTCCAATCTTCAATAGACTTCTCCCGAGAGCCAAAATATGAAAGCATATTCAAATTCATCGTTCTTTATCACTCTTCATCAGTAAAACCATTTGGGGAATGGAGAACTAAACTCACCGAAGTCTTCTCTCTTCATGCCATGGAAGCTCTCCTGACTCCACCAACAGTGGCTCCACGATAAGTAACCTCGATCCCTTTTTCAGTGCCGGTATTTGATTTCTTAAGATTTTGATACAATAATGATCCGTCCAGTTATGGAATATAGCACGGAAGAATATCACATCTATATTCCGAACAGTCTGTGGAGTCAACATGTCATACGCCATGAAGTTTATTCGATCTGAGATCTCAGCTGGTACGTATGTAGGCCCTTCTGCGATTGCCCCTGCGAAGTCCTGTACAATGAAATTCAAGTCGGGGAACTTTTTCGCTAGGCTAATGCTGATAGGTCCATACCCTCCGCCAACATCAACTATGGTTGCGGACTCAAGACTCTTCCAGTCATAGCGTTCACATAACAAAGAAAGGTCATTCCTGGAAGTGAATGCGCACATCGCGTTGGCAAAACGCTTCCCTCGAGAGGGATGAGCACTCAATTCTTCGTAAAGACCTTTGTTGGTTCGATGACCAATGCTGTATCCCTAAAACACCAACTATGTGAGCATATTGCATACCACAGAAAGTATCTTCAAATTTCTGATAGTATATATCAAAAATGAAAGGGTTGGTGTCCTCACAGTTTGGTTGGGCTCTTTTGCATACCCAAATTTTTGCACCGCCTCGACCGTCTATAATACGATTAGTGTCGGAGATATGAAGCGTCACCCAGAAAACAAATTACATGTGCAGCAGCCTGGAATCGTTCCTCGGTGACAATTCCAACATAATCCGTTAACAAAGGGTCGGATGCTAGAAGTTTGGACGCTGCTGTATGGGCTACTACTCCCGGCCGAACCTCTTTGAAGATGTGATTCGTCATCGCATATCCCAAGATTCTGCGAGTATCAATCAAGTTCAAGCCGCACTTTTCAGAGATCTGTTCATAGGTCGCTTCGCCGTTTATTGGGAAAGTATTGACCATATCATATGCATATATGAATTGCAGGCTCATACTATCCATTGCCTAAACAATCACGTTTAGCTTAGTTGACAATTTCCATAGAATTCTCAATCTTACGAACCGATGTGCCCATCAAAGCTGCTGTAGGTCCTAACATTAGATGATGAAGCTCCATGGTTGCCTTCAAAACCTCCGCATATGCCGCAGCAACCTCTTTTTCATGAGATGGAATGATTATGCGAGAAGGGCCAGAGATATCAAAGGATGGCATCGGAAGCTTGTTTTTCAAGAAGTATTCATTGACAATAGCAGTGCGACTCGAGATAGTCGTTGCAAGCACTGTGATCTGTGATGGAGAGGCCATTATGTCGATCGCCGGAGCTTGAGTGAGTGCGCAACAATTGGTGTCTACAATTGTGTAGAGATTGGATACAAATTCTTATGGATGGATGATTTATATTGATACACTCAAAAACAAAGTAAACATGAACTCTCATAAACAATATTGATATGGAAAGGGGTCTCCTTTTTCTGCCTATGTGGATATGTGGAGTGAAGCAAGAAAACTTCCAACATTCCCTCAATGGAAGTGGTCCAATCATCCTTTGTGGCGGTGACAATAAGTCAAAGGTTATTTCATGATCAATGCAGTGTTTGGAGGTATCATTCTGTTACCAAGCATTTTGAATGTCTTTTTGTTAGATACAAAACTTCTTCACAAATGTGGTGGGACTAAAAGTATATAACCGAGCTAACCGAATTAGCTCTATCGATGCCGAGCCGCTAGTGCTCCCGCACCAGGAACTTGGAAAGCGGTAAGGGGCCGAGCCAATCAATGATGTCATGTACAAATTCCCAACATTTATAAAAATGTTTGTTCGCCGATTTTCTGTCATTTTTGAAAGCAAAATAGATTGAATTTATCAATATTTTGACACATATTCCAATCAATTGCCCGCTGATATGCTTCAATACGGATGGGCTTTGGCCTTAATGGCCATTCCGGCAGTCTCTTCATCGCAAATCCCACTTCGTATTTCACAAGATTATTCCGCAAACTCTCATACCCAGGATTACAAATTCGATCCTCTCCTTCATCTTCCCGGTATAAGTCCATATTTCGATGCAGTTGGCCCGGGTCTTAACCACAAAGCACCTCGTCTCTGCGAAGTCACAGCTGCATCTTATCTTGTCAGACATGCCGCAATTTATGCTAATGACGATGATTACGAAACCTATATCGAACCATTTTTGAAAAAATTAGATAGTACATATACCACCAAATCAGGAAAGAAACGGAAGGGATGGACTGGCCCGCTCGCATTCTTTGAGAAATGGCAAACTCCCATCGATGATCCAAAGAATCAAATGGAACAAATCACTCCTCAAGGAATCAAAGACTCGAAAAAGGTTAGCAAACATTTGTTATCCAGATATCCCGAACTAGTACCCACAACGAAACGAATCTATGCGGACAAGAAGTCAAGAACACAAGATACGGCCAAGGCATTCGGTTGTGTCTTTCCACAAAAAGTCGAAATTGTCGAGATTGGAACAAATCGATCGTCTTTCCATTCCCAAGTCCCACATAAAGCATGCGATGCATTTACCAAGAAACCTGGAGACGAAGAATTACAAACTTTCCTCGCAAAATATGCACCGTCGATCATCGCAAGACTTCAGCAGTATTCACCAGTCCAACTTGGGAATTATGATATAATGGGGTTGCAACAGATGTGCGGGTATGAATCTGCTATCACGGGCAAAATTTCAAAGATCTGCGACGTATTCACAGACGATGAATGGATGGCTTACGAATATGCGTGGGATATGAAATATTCGCGCATGGTGGGTCATGGAAATCCTCTTTCGCCTTATTTGGGATTCCCTTGGCTGAATACCACGGCGCATCTATTCTCCAAATTTCATGCGCCTCAACATTCCGAATCTTCCGGTGATGGGATTCCCGATGACGACGGCCAACGATTTTTCTTATCTTTTACCCATCGCGAAGTTCCTCCTTTCATAGCCACCGCCCTTGGTCTCTTCAATTCCTCCAACGCATTCGCCGAAGAATTCCCAACCGATCGTATAAATTGGTCTCGATCATGGAAAATGTCCGAACTCATCCCATTCTTAGGTCATGTTGGAATTGAAAAACTCACATGTAAAGGATTGAAAGGCGATGCGGATGACGAAGACGATGTGCAGGAATTTGTGAGGATCATTGCCAATACCGCCCCAAGGCCAATTCCCGAATGCCAAGGCGGGCCTGGCGCTTCTTGTGAGTTCCATCAATTTGTCGAGATTGTAGAAAGGGGAATGGGTATATATGGTGATTTTGATAGCGTTTGTAAAAATAAGAAAGAAGTCCCGAAAGATCAGTATTAGGTTACTGACACGGAAGAGGATCTGAAAATGTATTTATAGACCTTAGACTCTAACAAGAGTAATGTATAATATCAGAGATTGGAGATTAAAGAATTTATTTAATTGTCGTCATGATAATATATCGATTTGAATACAAAACATGTGTTTCATATACACGAGGTTTTCGCGTGGGTAAAGAAGACTTGCAACATTCTAATCCGTTCTTTGAAATTATTCTAGATAATTCCAAACACGATAGATGTGCAACAAAACTATCTATCAAACACTGAAGGTCACGAGGTGTTTGCAAGAAGATTCGTTTATTGCTTCTCGAACATTTGATTCTATCGTTCTCGAACATTCAAGCGTGGGAAACAACTTGGCGTTTACAGAAATGATAACCACATCCTGCCGCAGTTTTCTAAATTTAAAACCTTCGATTTTTGATTATAACATTATTGAAGCTTACAACGACCGCGGTTTTAATGCCGCAGGGCGACTTAAGAGATGTGCCTGGCTTTTTCCAGCCAGTATCACACATATCATAACCCTTCTCATCGAGAAATATCGACAGCGAATTGAAAGACAACGACCGATGAAGAGGAATTCATGATCTTCATAAAATGAGTATATCTCCGATCCTGGGTGCGATCCTGCTGATCTATTTGCTCCAAGTGAGAACAAACCAGTATTTTATCAGTGCTTGAGGCATTTGGGTTGTCTTTCTTTTGTTATTTTGGATTGATTGATGTTGATGTTTGGCTTCTAGATTCTGAGTACCCCAAGTGTTCTTCAAGAGTACTTTGAGGTGTTCGTTTACTGTCGTGCTCTTTACTGCTTACAACTTATACGATCATTTTACTTCAATTTTTACTGGGAGACCCTGGGAAGAACTTTCAGACCTTATAGCTGATAATATTCTCTAGCATTAGATCGAAAGATGTACGGATAGGTATCAATCTAGACAATTTGGGAATATATCAATTTCAGAAAGGTCAGTACGGCGTGAGCCCCTTCATTGTGTGTGCACAGACCACTCAATCGCTTT